GTCAGCGCCTGCATATCTAGTGATTTAAGTGTTTCGGTGTGGCACTTAAACTTTAAATTACCTCCTTCAAAGCTAGAGTGGTTGCTTGGAAAAGAACTTAAGTGTGAATTGTGGACAAAATTCGACTGCTTGATGAGCCATTTGAATAGTCTGACTGGTAATCTCGAACTTAATAAGCAAACTCTTGCCATTGATCTTTTAAAAGAATTTGTTTCTGAAAGTGATGACTGGTCATCAAATAAGAACTTAGAATTTTTAATCGAGCAGTTAAAACTGCTTACTCTCAGTGTCCCACGTTATTCTTCGGGAATGCTATTGTGGGCTTCAAAATTTTATTTCAACTTTCCCTCTGCATACAGACTTGTCCGCAATTCTGGAAAACTTGTTCTCCCACACCCCATTTATTTGAAGTCATTACTTCAAAATTTAGGTAGTTTGGAAAGTGGTGAAAACTCAATCCAATTGAACTACCTATCCAAAAAGTGTAGTGAACTTTCTGAAAATGAAAGACTGATAAATGTAACAATGGATGAAATATATGTTAAGCCACAAGCTGTCTACAAAGGGGGTAAGGTAGAAGGTTATGCAGTAAATGCTGATAATGGAAGCTACCACCTTACAATGCTTCATGATCAGTTCACTATTTTCTAAGAATAAAGATGTTGTAGGACTTTTTCCAATGAAAAATCAAACAGCTACTGATTTGTTGCCAATTTTACATAAAATATTAGAAATTCTGAAACTTGCTGGGTATGCGATTTTAACCATAATCTCAGATAATAACCGTATTAATAGGAAGGCATTTGAAATAATGTGTGGTGGCTCATTGAAATCTAATATCGAAAATCCATATGATCCAGAAAAACAGATTTTTATTTTGTTCGACACAGTTCATTTGATGAAAAGCATTCGAAACAATTGGTTGAACAACACAGAGACTAATCAGACTTTTTACATTCCTGCTATGAAATTTTTACCCCCCGGGCAAGCAATAAAAACTGTTCCTGCATATGCAAGTATTTTGCATTTAAAACAATTATATAATCAGGAAAAAGAATGTTCTGTAAAGTTAGCGCCATCGCTTACCAGAAAATCTCTTTTCCCCAATCACCTAGAACGCCAGGATGTCCAGACTGCATTAAAATTATTTGATGACAAATTGATCCCTGCTCTTCAAATGTCTAAATCAAAAATAGGCGAAGATTTAGTCGGAACCATGCATTTCATTGATATTTTTTCCAAGTGGTGGAAAATTATTAATGTAAAAGCACCAGAAAAGGGCAAGCATAAAAGGAATTTATACTGTGATCCAGTTATCGGGGCTACCTGCCACATTGTTCAGTTTTTAGAAGAATTTTGTTTGTGGCTGCAGGAATGGAAGAATCTTCCCAGTCCATATTTTGCCAAGCCTAATTCTCGTTGTGGAAAACTATCTAAAGAAACTTTATTTGCTCTTCTTCACACAACTCGAACACTGATCAATTTAATTACATACTTATTTAAGGAGCATAAACCTAGCTATATATTACTTGGTAAATTTCAAACAGACTGTATTGAAGCAAGATTCGGCCAATATCGGTGTATGAGTGGTGGAAATTACCACATTGGTGTTTCCCAAGTGCTGGAGTCTGAGCGAAAACTCAAGCTTCTGAGTTTGATGACTTTAAAATGTAATAAGATGGGGACATTTCAAATAAAGTCATTTTTGGAGGCTGTTAAGGATGCGACTGAGATTATAATTTTTGTCAACAGGGTATAAAAAAATTTTTTTTTTTTTTTTTTTTTTTTTTTTTTTTTTTAATTTAGATAAGATTTTGATTTAAATTACATTTTTTAAAAAATAAATTCATACATATACTTTTAAAGGGAATCATATTTTTTAAATTTGAAAATAAAATATTTGTTTAGCACATAGATAATGAAATGACTACCTAAAGTATTTTTTTTAAGTAGATGATAATTTCAAGAGCATAGCAATAGTATTGACAAATCATATAATGACTTATTTTATTACAAATTTCATAGGAAAGGTTTTAGAAATACAGCTTTACAGAAATATTAATCACATGCAATAACAATAATATTCATTTTTATTTATTGTTTAAATTTGTTTTGTCGCTTCTTTTTCAAGAATCTATTTGTTATTTGTTGAACAAAAATGTCAGCTTGGCAGCCTTTTCCACCACTAATTGGTTTTTTATTTTACTATGTTACTTGATTTCTTATTTTGCCTATCTTATCTACTTCAAAATTATCATGAAATATAACCAAAGTGGATCATTTTTCTTTCCATTTTTTACTAGTTTAAACTTAAACTATAGGCACATATAATATGTATTAACAAAAGCTATATTTAAATTTTTTTTAAAAATGTCAGAGTAGAGTTTTTTTTTTTTTTAAATTTTAATTAATGATTTTTTAAAAATCAGTTGATTTATGTGAATAATTTTTTTAAAAAAATCAATTGATATAAATCCTTGACACTCTGCTTGTCAAAGAATAAATAAGTGAGTTATTTAACCAAAAATGTTATTTTATCAATCAAAGAATTGGTTTGCTAATTTTTCAATCGATGCTCCTGTTAAAATTGTCTACTTTTAACAGATTAAAAAACTATTTATTGGAGTGAAAATAATGTAATGCATGCATTAAGTGCACAAATATTTTCATATATTCTATGCTAATTGTATTCTTTTAATCAAAGTAAGTTTGTATTTGTATAAGAGTCTAAAATCTGCTCTTATTTCCCAGAAAGAGTATGCTAAATATGTATGTTTGTATCTCTTTTGAAATTTATATATGTTTAAAGTTGATAATAAAGAATGATTGGAGAGAGTTCAATAAAATTTTAAATATTTGCTTCTTGTGTTATTTTGATTGATTTAGTAGTATTATAATATACAATTTTGTAGCTAGCAATTTGTGATTTTCATTATTATATTTTGATCTGTAAATGCTTTTAGATTTAATGTTATTTTTAACAATTTTAGTTTGAAAGGGCAAGAAAATAATCGGAACTGCTCTATCATGAATATAGTTTAGGGCATATATTTTCATTTATGTTTATTATTAAGTAAAATAGGAAAAAAGATGTGAGGATGAGTCGAAAGTAAAAAATACTTTATATTAAATGAATATCCTTAATTATTGAATGCATTTATTATTTAAAATCATAGTAATTCAGTTCATGATAATTTTTGTTCTTAATACAGAGAGAATAAAACAAAATATTTTTGTTTATTGTAATTATTTTGTTAAGAATAAAGAAAGGGAAGATAAATGAAATTAGCAGCTCCAAGAAAAAAATTTACCCCTTCCTGATTTAAAATGAAGAAGAGTTAGAAAGCGAATTTCACATTCATTTCATTTTTATTATTAAGTAAAATATGAAAAAAGGTATGTAGGTGAGTGAAAAAACGACCAATACTTTATATAAGTGTACATCAGCATTAATAATTGCATTCACATTTATTATTATTAAAATCACATTTCAATTTATGATAATTTCTGTTTTTAAATGCATAAAGAATAAAATAAAAAGTTTGCGTTTATAGTAATTTATTAAGAATAAAAGAAGGGGCATAAAAAAATAATAGCTACAAAATAAAAATTTATCCCTTCCAGATTTAAAGTTGAAAAGAGCGTTATAAAGCTAATTTCAGTGTAAAAGCACCCTCGCTTCTTCCTCAGCGATGCACTCCCTGAGTGACGTCACGTTCGCTATCTTACGGCTTGTCATAAGTCACGTGGTTTTTTGTTCTTTGCTTCGTCGATAAATTCTGTTCTAAAATTTTTATTTAGTTAGAAACCTAAGCGGTGTAGTTCCTACGAGTTAAAAAATGGCTTCGAAGCCATTTACTTTAAATGTTACTGGTCGATCAAGTTCGAATGAGTGTATTGTATTTGAAATAAAGATCGATAACTTTTCATCCCTAAGAAATATGGAAGCATATGGTAGCTCAGAATTACAATCAACCCATGATTGTAAAAGTTCGTGGAAAATTGTTTTAACAACAACCCGAAATGATTCTAATTATTACCACAGCAGCCAATCCAGTTCAATGCAAGTAGGATTAAAAAGAACTGATTTCAACGATTGGGATGTGAAAGCTTCACTGTTTTTCGAAATCCAGAATTCTTATGCAAAAGTTTATCAAAAAGAATCATTTGAGAAAATATTTCCTCGCCAAAAGCAGGATGCTTTTTATTGTAATTCTATGAAGAGACCCAGTCATGCTAGTTCCGTTACAGGAATGAAAGGTAATAGTTTTATAATAAATGATAATAAACTTATAATTAAGGGTAGCATTTTCATTCATAATTGCTGTCCGAAAAAGAAAACCGAAAGTGACCGAGACTCTGCTATGAATTTAACCGAACTTCAAAGTAATCTCAAATATTCGTATCAGAACAATTTGTTCTCTGATGTTTCATTTAGTTTCGGTGACGATAATTTGTATGGTCATAAAACAGTACTCTCTGCCAGATCACCCGTGTTTAAGAAGATGTTCGAACAAAATATGAAAGAAAAAAATTTAAGCAATGTCACGATTACTGATATTGAGAAATCCGTTTTTGATGTTTTTCTTATTTTTCTCTACACAGGAGTAATTGAGAACAGAGAATTCGATACTGTCGTGTCATTGTATTCGACTGCTGACAAGTATGAAGTGACCACTCTTTTCAAAACTTGCAGTAACATTCTCGCATCTTATATCGCCAACAAAACTGTTTCAGTCATTTTGAAGTTGGCAGATATGCACAATGATAATGCTTTGAAAGAAAAAGCCATCCAATTTATATGTGAGAGTTTTACTCAAATTGAAAGTACTTGTGAATGGAATAATTTGTTAGATACGGATCCTCGTTTGGCTTCACATACTTTAAAGATGGTTTCATCTCATGTTGCTGCCAAAGAAAGAAGCATATCCTAGTTTGCATGTAATTGCTAAAATGTTACATTATAACCTTGTGTGCATGCTGCAAGTTCTAGAAACAGTAATTAATCTATTACATTGAGCAAATTATATTTTATATACATTTTTTTAAGATATTTTTTTTTAAGTTTGCACAATTTCTTTAAAATTTGGAAGTTTTTTTCTACTCTGGAGCAATTGAGAACAGAAAATTCGACAGCTGACAAGTATGAAGTGACCACTTTTTTCAAAACTTGCAGTAACATTCTCGCATCTTATATCGCCGAAAAAACTGTTTCAGTCATTTTGAAGTTGGCAGATCTGCACAATGATTATTCTTTGAGGAAAAAAAAGCCGTCTCTTTTATATGGGTCATTCTCACAAAAACTGTCATTTTTCAGCTCATAAAATCCCAAAAAAGTAAAGTGAATAAAAAGCTCTGAAACTTTTTATATTAATAGAAATATGTAATGGCATTATAAAGAAAGTATATATCCTATAAATTATACTTAATATTTAAATTAATTAATTTTTTAAATAATTAATTTATAATTAATTAATTTATAATAATTAATAATTAATTAATTAATTTAATAAATAAATTAATTAATTTAATAAATTAATTTATTAATTTTTTAATTTATTTTTCAAATTAATTAATAAGTAAATTAATTATTTTCACTATTTAAAAAGTGAGGGAATGACACTAATAGTGAGGGAATGATATTTTATTTTAATACATGTTTTTATCTAAGTTACATCTACCTAAAGTTTGAAAATGATAACATACTAAGTATATCTAATATTTATTATAATTTAGTCTTATATATTTAATAGTTTTTACAGGTTTGGGAAATAAAATTGGCTGGCACGATTGAACAAAAAAAAATTTAATAATATACTCATCTTGAATCATTCCCTCACTTCAGCGTCATTCCCTCACTTTATACACTAGTGAGGGAATGACGAATTCAATAAAATTTAAAAATAACAGTTAGGCCTAATTAATTTCTGAAGTCAATCACATACAATTATATTCATACAAGAAAGCAACATATAATTATCCACTTTCTCGATGAAGTTGTATTTTATTTTACTCTAAAAAATGACATGAGGGAATGACAAATGTAAAAAATTTTACCTGGTTTGATTCATTCAAATTTATTCCACAGCAAAGCTTCTTTAAGTTGAAGATGGAAACATACTGCAATTTTGTTCTATGATGCCAGTTGTTAACTTCTGAAGTTTTTATTAAAATATTTTTATTCTAAGAAGATTGCAGGTGATAAGAACATTGTTGTGAGGGAATGACGCGAAACACTGGGGACAAAGTTTAAAATAGTGCTGTGTTAATATTTTTGTCAGAAATTAAATTTAAAATTAATTTTCTGAATTCTATATTTAAGTATTCTGAAATAAAAAACACGAATTTGTAAAAAAAAAAAATTTTTTCAGAAACAATTTTTTTAATTTTTTAAATCAGCAGTGGGGACAAGTGAGGGAATGACATATTGGTATATTGTAATTACCTAAAATAAATAAAAAATAAAAATTGATAATTTTATTTTTATTCTTTTGTTAGCTTGCATTCTGAAGGACACTTTCCCAGAATTCTTTTTTATTTTCGTAAGCTGTAAAACAAACATAAAATATACTGGGGACATGAAAATGACTGTTTTTGTGAGAATGACCCATATATGAGAAAAAAAAATTGAATGTATTTGTGAATGGAATAATTTATTAGATACGGATAATCGTTTATCTTTATATACTTAATGATCTAGTTTACGTGTAGTGATTTCGTGATCTAGTTTACGTGTTAATTGTTAGAATTTTTAACTTTTGGCACAATATAACTCCTTAAAACAATAAAATATCCATTATGATTTTAAAATAAACAATTTTAAATACATTTTTTCGTTTTTCTGAGCTTTAAGTTTCAAAAAAACAGGTAAACTATAAATCATTGATACAATTCTAGCATATGATACGCACGCAATTTGGTGAATAGTGCGCAAAATCCGATATTTCTTTACGGTATACATTTCTATTTCTTAATTAAACCAGTTCTTTTCTTTTTAAAGCAAAGAAATAAGAACTGCCCAGCTTGGAGGCTGTTACTATAATAATAACCGGCTGTTTTAAATTCCATTTTAATGGAATTTAAACTTAATAATTTTTCTTGGTAGACATTGAATTTCATCTACATACGCTTAGCATTCGCCACCTCGCCAAATGCGATGAAACCACAAGTTGGACGAAAATATTGTGTAATATACATATTTCCCTCAATCCTAAAAAAAAAGAGGTAAAAAGGAATTTTTTTGAACAAATCCCCCATTTATTCAATTACAGTTATTTCCTTTGCATACGTCGCATAACCAATTAGAATTAAGTCCACATAATCTAAGCATAAGCAACAAGATAGATTACGTAAGCATGCAACAAACTACCTTAATACGCAGGTTAATTTGTTCGTGCCTGATCACGCGATATCGTGTGACGATATTCTCTCCTACAGATTGTGACAATAAAACCGATTACTGGTAGCGAGGTGCAAATTATCGTCCAACTATTTTTTCCGAAAATATGTTTTCTCCTGAGAACATAATATTCCTTCAAGTTTAGCCTCACATTACTGCTCTAGTTTAAGAAGTTATCAAAAATTAACCCCAACCAATTCCCAATCCTTGCTCATTTCCTCCCCCACCTGCAAAATGACTCTTGATTTGAATTTGCATTTTATAAAATAATTCAATTGATATAAAATTTGATTTTGATCTTAAAAAAATTTTACGAGAAAAAAAATCAATTTTAAAGAATTCTCAAGTTTCGATTTGGGGTTAAAATGTTGAAAATAGCTAATACTTTCCATATTTGGACCAATTTACTGGCTAATAATTTGAAGTCCTTAGCAAAGGGACCTGCATTAAAACACACATGTTTCGTCATTTATATTTGAGATTTTAGCAAGATGTAAAATATTGTTTATGAATTTATCTAAATTTAAAATATTCTATTTTTTAAAAAAAATTCTGGTTTACGGTACTATAAATTATCATATAATGAAATTTTCATAAAATGAAAACTTGTTAATTTGATGTAACTCTAGAAATTTATTGAACTTACAATTAATAAGCTTTATTTATAACTTACAATTAATATGCTTTTTGCTCCATTTACTGTGAAGATGAAATTCTGAACTTTTTCCAGTTAAAATTTTTTTTTTTTGGTTTTTAATTTTAATTTCAAGAAATGCAAAATTATCTAAAAAAGATTGATTAAGTGAAACTTTTTATGGTGAAAATTTCTGGATTGTTGGAAAAAAAATTTCCTGCTATTAACAGGAAACAAATATAAAAAATGTTTACATATCAATTCCTACTTAGGTAAACAAAGAAAATTTTTATTTTAGTTACTTTTTGTTAAATAATTACAATTTTCTCTCATATGAAACTAAAATTAATTTATTAAATTTTATTAATGAATTAATATTTGAATAATAAGTGTCATCCAGTACAAGTTTAAAAAAAATGTACTAGAACTTTTTGAACTTGAATAGGATGAATAAAAAGTTTTTTAATAAGGATTGAAAGTTTGAACTAGATATAGAGAGAGAGAGAACTAATACTGGGAATTGAAAAAGAATCTAGGTAAATTAGTTTTAGTATGTACTTCCCTTATTGATATTTAATTTAAATATTAATGAATTAATATTTAGACACAACAGCTAAATGGAGAAGTATGTTCTCTTTTGCATGTATTTGTTAACAATTTTTTTATAAACTTTTCTCATAATAAAACTTTTTTCTTTAATATGTGTTTAATTTTTATTGTTTCATTTAAAAATAAGAGTACTATACAATTTGTACTACAAATAACGACATCGGTAATGTTTCCGGGTTTATAAGAGACATTAACCACTTTGAAACGTTTCTGAGTTAACAATCGTTTCCCCAATTTTAAGAGGTAAAATACGAACCTGCTTGCTCCTGTATTTTATTTAAAAATCCTTATTTACCAGTTATAACTGGTAAATTAGCAAAGAAGTCAAGTATACAGTTAGTGAATACATCCTCTCTAACCTTCAATTAAATATTAAAATTTTAAAAAATAAAATCATAACACAACTGAAAAAAAAAACATCTTTATTTGTGAATATTTTACAGTGTTAATTATGTAGAAGCAAAGCAGTAACTTAATTTGTTTCCAATACAATATGATACATCAAATATTACAATAATTAATAAGATTTTTGTAACTACATTTTGAAGATTGCTAAGTTTCACGTTACAGTGAAGATACAGCACCATTTTCTGTGAATAGAAATATTAAAACACAATTCTTGGGGAAAAAAATATTTTTGCATTTTAAGCAGATACTGAAAGCAAATCAATCATAAACCACTGAAATAAAAAGAACAAGATACTGAAAATTCCACTGTTGCCATATGCATATCACACAATGATCTCATCTGAGTTAACAGAAATACATTATTTTTCGTACAAACATTTTAGAAAGAAATTTCAGTGTTTGTTTCATTTTGGTTACATAAAATTTTTTCTGGTGTATTGGAAATATAAATATGCATGTGAATGGTAAGGATGCCCGCTTACCACACTTTAAAAATAAATAAATGAAAAAATAAATAAATTTTATGAAAGAATTAAAAATGATATTCAATATAAATATATTTCATATTGAATAAAATATAAATGTATTTTAAATAAATTATTTTCCTATTAATGAACAAAAATGTTTTTTATTATATTATAATGCAATATTATAATATAATATTACATTTACAAACAATTTACAATTTCAGAGATATGATTGCCTGTTTTGCTGCAGCAATTTTCATTGGTTTTGAGCAATTCAGAGCAATAATTTGGCATTTTTAAAGCAGTTTTGTTCTTAAGCAATAATATTATTATTATTAACTTTAGAATATTTTGAAATTTAATATTTACGTTACTTTAATACATATCTATTTTTTTAGTTGGTATTTAACAAGAAAATGGTGCATAACGAAAAAAATTCCATGCAAATTACTCAGACATTTACCAAGTTGAATTATCTAAGCATTAGATTAAGTTTTTAAGGAACTTTTAAGTTTTTCCTGCATCAGAAAGGCAGGTTTTCTTTATGTTATTTGATGGGAAAGTAGCACATAGCAGACATATCTCAGTACAATTTTAACCAGGAGTTCAAAAAGCATGGTATTAATAAACCATAGAATGAAATTCAAATAAATAAGGTAAGATAAGACTAAAAATATACACAGAATATCCATCACAGACAAAATGAAATTTAAAAAAAAATTTATCACTCAATCGTCAAGTAAGAATGCAATGAAATATTCAAATAAATATAATTTCTATTCCAAACATTTCTTTATCTTCATTTTAAATAAAAATCTAATTTATGAAAATTAAGAAACAAGCACAAATTCTGATAATTATTAAAATTTATGAAATTATTATAAATTAAAACACTTTTACAACTCAGAAAATAATGCAGCGTTCATAACTGAACACTACATGCTTATAAATATTAGATTTAATATTTACAGTTTTCATTATTGACAATTCATTTTGTCCGTAATTGTTAATCCTTTTTTTTTAATCTAAAATATTTGCTAAATCAATTCAAATTTTGGTACCTAGTTTTTTCACACAATGTTAGTGCCTAAAAAAGAGCAAAGTTAACAACTTAATTTTTTTACTTCTAATTGTTACTCTCTTAAGATCTTAATTGAAAAGTTAGAAAAAAATTATATGAAATTAAACAAGTGCATATTTTGATTGTTATATTGAACAATTAGGACCTTAGGAAATTGTTCAATGTTATATTGATCAATTTTACAACTCAAGAAATTGTGCAATTGTATTATTTTTGACAGAATAATTCAGGATTTACTTCGAAGAAGCTTTCATATTAATTGTTTACAAATGATCCTCAATCACATATAACAAGAGACACATACTTAACAGATAAAACAGAACAAGTTTTCTAGCTTAGCAAGTATTTAGTCGGTCTGAGAAGGACAAAGATAAAGTCATTCAGTTAAAACATGTCAAGTCATGATAAGACAGTATGGTTACTATCAGTATGAATTCTCTGCTAATTAAATGAGAGTGATTAACATGAAGAAAAAAAAACATATTTTAGGAATAAAGGATTAGCTTGTCTACTAATTCTTACAAAATATTATTTTCTTTTATATTTTTATTATTTCTTTTCACAAGAGCTCACTTATTTTTGAAAACCTTAATAGCTGAAGGTTTTGCATATTTACCAGCTAGTATACTTGAAAATTTTTAGGGCAGTTATAAATTAAAGTATTAAGTGCAAAGCTTTGCAAACAAGTGAAAAATAACATCAAATAAATAAATAAAGTATAGATAGGGAATGCATTTAATGAGTAACAAGTGCTTTGAAAGCCCAAGAAAAAAAATATTCGGAATTTATAAAGTGAAAATGGTCAGTTTGACATGCAAATAATCTTCCTGTACAGTATAGAATACACAATAGCCATTGAAATAAAATTTACAAAGATCAAAGAATAAGGGTTGCTTAAATGAAAAGTGAACACACACGATAGCATCAGAAATATAGTGGCAGGATGTAACAGGAATGGATTGCAGATTGGGTATTACTAATAATTAACCAGTTTATGTGAGGTGAATATAACGTTGTGGCAAAATGGATACCTCCAGAACAGAACAAGCAATAGAATTATTTGTAAAGGTCATCAAAATACAGAAATTTATTGTCTAATAATCGATGCTTAAAGCAAACACTGTCTAGGAAATAGGGGTATGAAAAAAATGGGGTATACGTTTTTAAAAACAGAACAGTCAAGATCTAAAGAACTTGAACACTGTGATCTCCAATCCACATATAATGCAGCTATTGATTATGAATAAGGACATCAGTCCAACACTTTGTTAGTAATGAGTAAAAGAATTGTATAATCCTCTTATACCACCAAAAATCACATTACTTCATCTTATTCTGCTCTAAAAGCATCCTTTCGGTCTTAACTTTACATTCACTTTATATGCTCTCATGTGATTTCAGAAATCAATTCTAAACAGTCTGTGATGCACTCCTTTTACCTTTCTTTATAACTTTGAATGATAGCACTACTAACATTTCTAATGCTATTACATGTGTTTACTTGTAATCTGAACAACCTTTATAATTCCATGCAAATAACAAGTTTAAAAGAAATTTTATGATTCTTTACATAAATGCAAGTTGAAGATAATTCATTTCTTTAGATGACATATTTGAAAACATTATCAATAACCCTACTCTGTGTTAATAATTTAAAAAGCTAACAAATTTTTCCACATTTTAATATTATATATTTCATCTACTTTCATGCATGAAAATCAAATATTTTTAAATAAATTAATGCATAAAAATTTTTGGGACACATTTAATTTCTTTAGTTTTCACCCAATGACAGGCTACATGCACAATAAAGATAATGATATTAATTTACATTAAAGACATTTGAAAAACAAGTCTAAATATTAAGTTCATATCAAAGTACTCTGAGTTTTCCTCGGCCAAATAATAGTAAACAGATCCGATCCACAAGGAAAGCAAAGAAGAAGTCTGAGAACAAAGTAAGAAGTACCACTTTTTGGAACTAAAAATAAAAATGATAAGCCATATTATACACAAACTGAAACATTTTTATAATAAACATTTTTAACTCTCTGATGATTCAAACAGAAAAATCACACTTTGAACAATATGGCTTTCCTATTAGAGAAAAGTTTTGGAGGTCTGAGCCTAAGATTGATAGGATTCTTTTGTATCTGAGTCTGCCCCAGTCAGAAATGGAAAAAGGAAGAACAAATGAAATATTTTTCATTTTGATTTGCGCATTTACAACATTTGCTTTACATTAAGATTACTTATTTACAGATTTAAAACTTTTTCTTAATTTTTGCACAATTTTTTTTTTTTTAATATTTTATAACCCAAATAGAACAACCCATTTTTAGGTTTTAATCTATCAATGTNATAATATTCCTTCAAGTTTAGCCTCACATTACTGCTCTAGTTTAAGAAGTTATCAAAAATTAACCCCAACCAATTCCCAATCCTTGCTCACTGCAAATTGACTCTTGATTTGAATTTGCATTTTATAAAATAATTTAATTTATATAAAATTTGATTTTGATCTTAAAAAAAATTTACAAGAAAAAAATCAATTTTAAAGAATTCTCAAATTTTGTCTTGGGGTGAAAATGTTGAAAATGGCTAATACTTTCGATATTTGGACCAATTTACTGGCTAATAATTTGAAGTCCTTAGCAAAGGGCCCTGCATTAAAACACACATGTTTCGTCATTTATATTTGAGATTTTTGCAAGATGTAAAATAATGTTTATGGGTTTATCTAAGTTTAAAATATTCTATTTTTAAAAAAAATTCTGGTTTACGGTACTATAAATGATCATATAATGAAATTTTCATAAAATGAAAACTTGTTAATTTGATGTAACTCTAGAAATTTATTGAACTTACAATTTATCAACTTACAATTAATAAGCTTTATTTATAACTTACAATTAATATGCCTTTTGCTCCATTTACTGTGAAGATATAGTTACACAACAGCTAAATGGAGAAGTATGTTCTCTTTTGCGTGTATTTGTTAACAATTTTCTTATAAACTTTTGTCATAATAAAACTTTTTTTTAAATATGTGTTTAATTTTTATTGTTGCATTTAAAAATAAGAGTACTATACAACTTGTACTACAAGTCATGACAACGGCAACGTTTCCGGGTTTATAAGAGACATTAACCACTTTCAAACGTTTCTGAGTTAACAATCGTTTCCTCAATTTTAAGAGGTAAAATACGGACCTGCTTACTCCTGTATTTTATTAAAAAATCCTTATTTACCAGTTGTAACTGGTAAATTAGCAAAGAAGTCAGATACAAAGTTAGTGAATACATCCTCTCTAACCTTCAATTAAATATTAAAATTTTTAAAAATAAAATCATAACACAACTTAAAAAAAAAAACATTTTTATTCGTGAATATTTTACAGTGTTAATTATGAAGAAGCAAAGCAGTAACTTAATTTGTTTCCAATACAATATGATACATCAAATATTACAATAATTAATAAGATTTTTGTAACTACATTTGAAGATTGCTAAGTTTCACATTACAGTGAAGATACAGCACCATTTTCTGTGAATAGAAATATTAAAACACAATTCTTGGGGAAAAAAATATTTTTGCATTTTAGGCAGATCTATTGATACTGAAAGCAAATCAATCATAAACTACTGAAAATAAAAAGAACAAGATAGTGAAAGTTGATACTGAAAATTCCACTATTGCCATATGCATATCACACAACAATCTCATTTGAGTTAACAGAAATACAAACATTTTAGAAAGAAATTTCAGTTGTTTAATTTTGGTTGCAAACAAATTTTTCTGGTGCATTTGAAATATAAATATGCATGTGAATGGTAAGGATGCCCACTTACCACAATTTAAAAATAAATAAATGAAAAAATAAATAAATTTTATGAAAGAATTAAAAATTATATTCAATATAAATATATTTTACATTGAATAAAATATAAATGTATTTTAAATAAATTATTTTCCTATTAATGAACAAAAATATGTTTTTTATTATATTATAATATGATATTACATTTACAAAAACAATTTACAATTTCAGAGATATGATTGCCTGTTTTGCTGCAGCAATTTTCATTGGTTTTGAGCAATTCAGAGCAATAATTTGGCATTTTCAAAGCAGTTTTGTTCCTAAGCAATAATATTACTGTAGTTTGAGCTTAATGAAACAAAATATTTTTAATCTAACAAAATATTTTTAATGCAACATCGAAGCAATATAACAATTATAAAATAGCCAATTTTCTGCTTTTGCAACAAAGATTACCCCTTCATAGTAAGTCTAGTACAATTTTTACAACAGTAGGATTTTGGGAGCTTTTTTCTTCTTCTATAAAATTTAACTCTTTGAGCACAGCTTAGGATTACTTTATTAAAGTGATCACGAAACTTATGTAACTTCTGAGCTACCATGCTGTTTTTTTAATTTAACTGTGAGCTACCAAAGAAAAGAACTAATTTTTTTCAACAAAAAAATCATACATTTGGTTTATCAGCAGGATAAAACCATGTTAGCCAACCAGAGAATTACCACGATCTGTCGAAAATGTCACCGTGAGCTTCCAGTAGCTCACAATTAATTTGGCAATCACTGCTTTATTATTAACTTTAGAATATTTTGAAATTTAATATTTACTTTACTTTAATACATATCTATTTTTTTAGTTGGTATTTAACAAGAAAATGGTGCATAACGAAAAAAATTCCATGCAAATTACTCAGACATTTACCAAGTTGAATTATCTAAGCATTAGATTAAGTTTTTAAGGAACTTTTAAGTTTTTCCTGCATCAGAAAGGCAGGTTTTCTTTATGTTATTTGATGGGAAAGTAGCACATAGCAGACATATCTCAGTACAATTTTAACCAGGAGTTCAAAAAGCATGGTATTAATAAACCATAGAATGAAATTCAAATAAATAAGGTAAGATAAGACTAAAAATATACACAGAATATCCATCACAGACAAAATGAAATTTAAAAAAAAATTTATCACTCAATCGTCAAGTAAGAATGCAATGAAATATTCAAATAAATATAATTTCTATTCCAAACATTTCTTTATCTTCATTTTAAATAAAAATCTAATTTATGAAAATTAAGAAACAAGCACAAATTCTGATAATTATTAAAATTTATGAAATTATTATAAATTAAAACACTTCTAAAACTCAGAAAATAATGCAGCGTTCATAACTGAACACTAGCATCAGCATATTTTATGCTGCTGCTAATATTCAGTAATGAACACTGCATGTTTATAAATATTAGATTAATACAGTTTTCATTATTAACAATTCATTTTATCCCTAATTGTTAATCCTTTTTTCTTCTTCTAAAATATTTGCAAAATCAATTCAAATTTTGGTACCTAGTTATTTCACACAATGTTGGTGCCTATAAAAGAGCAAAGTTAACAACTTAATTCTTTTACTTCTAATTGTTACTCTGTTAAGATCTTAATTGAAAAATTAGAAGAAGAAAAAATGTGAAATTAAGCAAGTGCATATTTTGATTGTTATATTTAACAATTAGGAGCTTAGGAAATTGTTCAATGTTATATTGATCAATTTTACAACTCAAGAAATTGTGCAATTGTATTATTTTTGACAGAATAATTCAGGATTTACTTCGAAGAAGCTTTCATATTAATTGTTTACAAATGATCCTCAATCACATATAACAAGCAACACATACTTAACAGATAAAACAGAACAAGTTTTCTAGCTTAGCATGTATTTAGTCGGTCTGAGAGAAGGACAAAGATGAAGTCATTCAGTTAAAACATGTCAAGTCATGATAAGACAGTATGGTTACGATCAGTATGAATTCTCTGCTAATTAAATGGGAAGTGAATAACATCAAGAGAAAAAAAAACATATTTTAGGAATAAAGAATTAGCTTGTCTTCTAATTCTTACAAAGTATTATTATCTTTTATATTTTTATTATTTCTTTTCACAAGAGCTCACTTATTTTTGCAAACCTTAATAGCTGAAGGTTTTGCATATTTACCAGCTAGTATACTTGAAAATTTTCAGGGAAGTTATAAATTAAAGTATTAAGTGCAAAGCTTTGCAAACAAGTGAAAAATAACATCAAATAAATAAATAAAGTATAGATAGGGAATGCATTTAATGAGTAACAAGTGCTTTGAAAGCCCAAGAAAAAATATTCAGAATTTATAAAGTGAAAATGGTCAGTTAGACATGCAAATAATCTTCCTGTACAGTATAGAATACACAATAGCCATTGAAATAAAATTTACAAAGATCAAAGTATAAGGGTTGCTTAAATGAAAACTGGCATCATCAATAGCATCAGAAATATCGAGGCAGGATGTAACAAGAATGGATTGCAGATTGGGTATTACTAATAATTAACCAGTTTATGTGAGGTGAATATAATGTTGTGGCAAAATGGATACCTCCAGAACAGAACAAGCAGTAGAATTATTTGTAAAGGTCATCAAAATACAGAAATTTATTGTCTAATAATCGATGCTTAAAGCAAACATAGGGGTATGAAAATAATGGGGTATACATTTTTAAAAACAGAACAGTCAAGATCTAAAGTACTTGAACACTGTGATCTCCAATCCACATATAATGCAGCTATTGATTATGAATAAGAGTTATGAATAAGGACATCAGTCCAGCACTTTGTTAGTAATGAGTAAAAGAATTGTATAATCCTCTTATACCACCAAAAATCACATTACTTCATCTTATTCTGTTCTAGATGCATCCTTTCGGTCTTAACTTTACATTCACTTTATATGCTCTCATGTGATTTCAGAAAACAATTCTAAACAGTCTGTGATGCACTCCTTTTACCTTTCTTTATAACTTTGAATGATAGCACTACTAACATTTCTAATGCTATTACATGTGTTTACTTGTAATCTGAACAACCTTTATAATTCCATGCAAATAACAAGTTTAAAAGAAATTTTATGATTCTTTACATAAATGCAAGTTGAAGATAATTCATTTCTTTAGATGACATATTTGAAAACATTATCAATAACCCTACTCTGTGTTAATAATTTAAAAAGCTAACAAATTTTTCCACATTTTAATATTATATATTTCATCTACTTTCATGCATGAAAATCAAATATTTTTAAATAAATTAATGCATAAAAATTTTTGGGACACATTTAATTTCTTTAGTTTTCACCCAATGACAGGCTACATGCACAATAAAGATAATGATATTAATTTACATTAAAGACATTTGAAAAACAAGTCTAAATATTAAGTTCATATCAAAGTACTCTGAGTTTTCCTCGGCCAAATAATAGTAAACAGATCCGATCCACAAGGAAAGCAAAGAAGAAGTCTGAGAACAAAGTAAGAAGTACCACTTTTTGGAACTAAAAATAAAAATGATAAGCCATATTATACACAAACTGAAACATTTTTATAATAAACATTTTTAACTCTCTGATGATTCAAACAGAAAAATCACACTTTGAACAATATGGCTTTCCTATTAGAGAAAAGTTTTGGAGGTCTGAGCCTAAGATTGATAGGATTCTTTTGTATCTGAGTCTGCCCCAGTCAGAAATGGAAAAAGGAAGAACAAATGAAATATTTTTCATTTTGATTTGCGCATTTACAACATTTGCTTTACATTAAGATTACTTATTTACAGATTTAAAACTTTTTCTTAATTTTTGCACAATTTTTTTTTTTTTAATATTTTATAACCCAAATAGAACAACCCATTTTTAGGTTTTAATCTATCAATGTTGAACTTTGTAGCATTTTAATTTTGAATCCAAGGCAAAAAAAAACAAGAATACTACAGGATCAATGGGTCAAACTAGCCACCTTGGGGAACTTTTAGAAGGAACAAATGGGCATCTGTGTTAAATGAAAAGGAAAACTACAAAAAAATCTCACAATTAGCGTGACGGCAAGGAATTTTAACCCATTATCTGTTTACCTCTAAGGATATTTATACCCCAGCACTGCGGTTGATGCAAGCTGTTAGCAGAATTTGCATTGATCACTTATCGCTGGGTTTTGAATCCTGGTAGAAGAAGAAGAAGAGATTCATTAGAAGGAGAGCGTTCTAACCCCTGAGCCAGTTTACACTCAATAATCATATTTAATAACTGATCCAAGTGGAATTTTGTATATTTCCAATAAAAGAAAAAACTTTTGATAAGTATTTCAATGTGTATTAATATTTGTTAGATATAAATTAATATGTTCTTATAATGCATGAATTTTTAAGCATTTAACAAGTCTAAAAAATGTCTTTCTTTCACGATAACAATCAAAAATAATTTTATATGTTGTATAAAAAACAAAAATATATTTTGTATTTTAAAGCATTCAAATCAATAATTGTTAATTTTAAAAATTTTTTGTAGTTTAAATTATTGTCTATTTTGTAAATACAATAAGTTATTTCTATTATTTAATTATTAATTTTTTTTTGAGCAAGTAACAACAAAAATCTAAAGTTATTTGTTGAATATTAATAAATAAATGAATAAACATCTCAACAAGCTTGACCCTATTGTTTTTATTACTGGAAAAAAACTACCTAAAGGTAGTGTAAAACTCTATTATCAATTAAATATTTGAAATGTGCTCGATTAACTTTTAAAGAATACTTTAAAAACAATTTATATTAAACACATGGTTTAAAAAAATCTTTTTTATTTGAGTTTATGAACTATTTTCAGAATTGCTTCTAAAAGAGACTTTGGGTGCAGATCATACATTGTAGAATATGTAACATCTATATCATGTTGCTGCAACTCCCCCCCCCCTAAAAAAACATAACAGGGGAAGAAACATTAAAACTATGTACAAAAAACTATTTTATTTCATCAATTATATCATACTACCCCCTATTAATTGTACTTATTTCAATTACAGAAATAAAGTAGAATTTTTACTGTAGAACCAAAAATTTGCAAAGTATTAAGAATATTGTGCATTTAAGCAATTAACGAAATTGTTAAAAACAGTGAAATGCTTACTTCTGGTTCAAAGTCTACAATGGAAAATATGCCAGCTAGTTCTGGTGAGAGGCCTGTTACAAGCATCAGTATTGCTGTGCCTGATATTAAAATACTATACATGAGTGGCTTGTTTTCTGTCAGACTTTCCATAAATGGGTGACCCTGTAAAGTAATAAAACAGGTAAATATAATGATCAGAAAACACAAATTAATAAAACACTGTACTCAGAAATAATCTTTAGTTAGACATGCATTAAAAAAAATTAAGAGTCAAAAATCTGCGACTAAAAACTATTGTTTCTGCACAAATTTTAAGTGATTTAGTCGAATCACAATTTGGCAAAGTTAAGATCAATATTAAGATCAAAGATCATAATTTGACATGAAATAAAATAGACCAGTGGAGTAAAAGCTCAATGCAGAAATAAGTAACAATTCAATGGAAATAAAGTTAAAAGTTTTAAAGTAGGTCTAATAGGCATATCTAAATTTGCCCCTCCCCCTACAAAGAGCACTTTAGCTGAAAATTTGAATTTATTAAGGGTATAAAAGGCAAACAGAAAAAGAAACTTGAACATAACTATGTAGAGAAGAGAGATTTTTGTTTCTAATGTTTTCTTGTTTCTTTTCTTCCTTAATCCAGAACCAATTCAAAACAAAGTTGATGAATATTATTGATTAGAAGTTACAAGGGGTCCCATTATATATTATTCATGATTATAAGCAAAAAACTATACTTTTTATCTATAAAACCCTCATAAACTCTTGTGCTTGGCTCCATTATTTTGTCATAAAAAAACACAACAAACTATACCTGATTTGTTTAGATCAAAATATTTAGATGAAAACTTCTTAAAATGTTAATCAATTGAATATTTATTTGTTATTTTATATTTATGTTATCATTTTCTATGTTATTTTAGATTAATGAATTATTTAAATTGTTTTTGCTTAAATAAATTTTAAAAAATTTCTTTTTTCCAATTTTCTAAATTTATGCAAATTTTTTTAGCAGTCATCTATACGAAGGAGTAGAGAAATTGATGAGTGAATTGTGTGCCTTTTAATACATGAAACAGTTAAAAAACCACAACATGTTAAAAAAAATTGGAAATGGGATTTACCCTGTAGTTGACAGCAAATGTGGATATTTGCAGAGCCATAGAGATTATGTAAACTGTGCTATTCAGAAGAGATGGTTTGAATTCAGCCTCTAAGTCAGCAAAGGCCTCAGCTCTGGAAAAAAACATTGACTTTTACAGTTGCTTATACAATTTAATACTATATAATACAGAAACAATATAATACTATTAAGCTTTGATATCAGAAATTTAAAGGGAGACACGAAAAATTTAAAAAGTTTTGAATTTTAAGTTATAAAGTATGAAATTCAAATCATAATTGTGAAAGTCATGAACTAGCAAATGCTTACTTCAAAACAATGTATTTATTTTAAACTATTTTTTTCATTATGAATGATTCACTGCTTTTAAAATAGCGATTACAAAATAATTTTTTGTGTATTTTCTTGTTTGCCCCTGAATTATAAATTTGATGTTTGCTCTCAATGTTTTATGGGCTCATAATTAGTTGTAACCCATTGACTTTTTATTTTACTTGATAATTGGATACCCCCTACAATTAGATGATAGGATGCCTTAATCTAATGCATCTTGTCCCCCTTTCTTCTTCTTTGCACTAATGTACATTCATCCTGCTTTTTCTTTCCTTTTTTTTTTTTGTAAGAATTAATTTGTTACGTTTCATACGAATTTTTGAAAGGGACTTTGGGATCAGTGAAAGTAAAATACTTTTAATCTAGCTAAATTTGCTTCCTCAATTTATGTTGTTTTGAAAGTCTTATCTACCCACATGTTTCACGTGTCTTTTCTATTAGGGACAGATGATTTAAGAAACTTCTTTTCAAATATGGCAATTACCCTTTTTAATACAGCTTCAAAAAATGGTTCATACTAAGGGACAATGTAAAATGTGTTCTGCAAAAAGAATATATTTTTCTATTATCAGAACAACAAATGGGTAGAAAAATTTAGATATTTTTTGTGATTTCAGAAACATTGAAATTGAATCTCATTATAGCAAGGTTAAACAGTATTTTCATTCATAAAATATGGACACCAGAACTGTGCATTATAAAAATACCATTTAAATGTATACATTCCATCTACAAGTTGACAAATTATTACTGAGGGACAATGTAAAATGTGTTAAACGAAAATAATATTTTTTTTCTATTATCAGAACAACTAATGTGTAGAAAAATTTAGACATTTTTCGTGATTTCAGAAACATTGAAATTGAAGCTCATTATAGCAAGGTTAAACAGTATTTTCATTCATAAAATATGGACACCAGAACTGTGCATTATAAAAATACCATTTAAATGTATACATTTCATCTACAACTTGACTAAATTTTTATGAATTTGATAAAACAAAAGCACTTTGATTTATAATTCCTTAAGCTCTTGTATTAGTTAACTTAATTTTCAATTTGAAACAAAACATTTGAACAAAAATGAGTTTTTATTAATCACTGTCACAGATCAAATAACATAAAAGCAGAAACAAAATAAATTTTGGTCTGAATGGACCCTTGATTAAACAGGAACCGACTTCAGCAGAAATATTTTTTGATTTCATAAATTAAGGGTTAAAAAGCATGCAAAATCCACTGGAAACTGTTACATGTGGAAACCGGAAGTATAAATATGCTTTTAGATGTAAAACTTCTTGTTAAAAATTTACAAATGATTTTGTTTCTGAAAACATTTCCACTTTTAACACTTTGAATAAGACTTGTAAAACCAAGCAAACAGCATATCACAAAAAGGTGAAAACATTAATAACTTAAAAGATGCAATAAATGATCTTTTTCAGAATGACCCACACTATTAGCATTTCAATATTGCACATGTTAAAAAAAGCATGCTTGTTCATGATATTTCAATAAAAATGTGTCCTCTAGAAATGTAATATTATGGAGAAAAAGCGAAAAATATAGTGTAAGAGAAACGAAAAGCATGAACTAAAAGTCATCAAGATGTTGTCAAAAACTTAAAAGAACTAAAGCAAATTTGCACAATAAATAAACAATTCAGATATATTTATATCCCAAGCTAAAGTGTTTGTTGTAAGCCAAGAAGCTAAAAATTTAAGCTTTGCCAGAAGAAACTCTTCTACAATTTTGGAAAAATAGAGAAAATATGTAAGTAAATAAATTATTTTTTCTATTTTGTTACGCACATGTTTTTGGTAAGTGTTTAAAGCAAAAAAATATGTACAGTAAGCCAGATGTTTTTATTTATTTATTTAAAATTTCATTATTTTTAGTATATTTTTATTTTAAACTAAAACCTGGTCTTAGCTAAAAAATATTGTGATTCCTTAAAAGATAGGTTTTACTGATCATACCAGATAATCAATGCAAAATATTTATTAAACCAATAGCACTCTAATTATGGTTAAAATTACGAAGTAAAGCACAATAAGATATTAAAATACAATAAGGTACTACTATGTATCACCAAACTTAAATTATAAAGAAAGTTGACACATGAAAAATTTGATAGTTAAACATATTCAAATACATTAGTCAAAACTGAAAATTGTCATTACCTGGGTGGCATTCTTGATGTGGCTTCTTGTACTAAATAAACTAAGCTGCTAAAATGGACACTGAATTGGAGAAGCACTGTTAAAATTGTGTAAAAATTAAATATGTTGGGCAATGGGCGCTCCCTTGATAATGTCGTTAGAGGCTGAAGAATAAGATTAAAGAAAATAAACTTTCAAATAAAATTCATACAACTTAAAATTGCATTAAAGATAGTAATTAAAATAAAGAAATCTGTTGCATAATTTAAAAGAAAATCAAGAACAATAGTTAATTAATAAATTAAGAACAATAAACACAAGATACAAGGCATTGTAAATATTTTTGTTAACAAGTCATTTCATAAGGGTAAATGTATCAAATTTAATATTATATAATAATAATTTACAATAAGGTTTATAAACTTTTAACAAAAAGATCAATTCGATACCCATAGATCAACCGGTCACAAACCACTTGAAAAATAGCATTCAAACTATCTTGGAATAATGGAATGGTAGTAACAATATGTTTTAAATAAATAAGTTTATATTACTAAATAAAACTACTACAACTGTTGATTAACGTATTTATATTAATATAAATATGAAAGACTGAGAAAAACTGGTAGAAACTGCAGGTTAATTAACATAAAGTATAACTTTTCAAAAATTAATTTGTGAGTCCTTTCATAAAATTCCAAATTACCACCATCTGATCTTTATCAACTGAATTTAAAGATGATTTTTATAGCTGTTGAAATATGTAGGATAAATTATTTCGGAATAGTGTTTGGTTATTTTTTAACATCTTTAAAAATAACAAAATTATTTTTAAACAAAATCAGAAAATTTTGAATTTTATTCATAATTTCATGTCAACATGTTTATGTTATAAAGTTTTCATACAGTAGGGGTTATACATAAGAGTGACACAGCCTAATAGGGTTTTGGGGATTAAAATCCCAGCCAGAAATCATCCCTCATAATCGTATCAGTTGCCGATAAATCAGAAAGGAGTTCTGATTCATAGGAAGCTATTCCGCGGTTATTAAAAAAATCAATAAGGTGAGAACAATGTGAAAATAAATGCAATACTGCAAATAAATACAAATTTCTCATTATTCCAGCAACATTTGAAAAAAAATAAAGCAAATGTAATCTTAATGTATTAAATGGCTACAGTACATAGGCCAATTAGGTAATATAGAAAGCTGTCAAGAAAAGTGTGAAAGTTTTCCGAAAATTTAAAAACTTAAAAGCTTTAACAGGGTGCACAGCCAAATTTCTCAACAAAAAATAAGCACCTTTCAAGCAGCTAAAAATATTTTTAAGCACTTTAAAAATATATATAATTAGGCAAGGTTGGCAAGTTTTTGACAATTGACGGTTTTATTGACGGTCATGTCAACAAAAAAAACTTTTGGCATAGTTTTTTACAATTGTCAAAATTCATGAAATTTTGAATCATGTAAAACGAATGGCGTTTTCATATGCTACGGACCAATGGTACGCCAAAATGGATTGGTGTTGAATTAAGTGTGTAAACGTGAATAGACAATTTACTGTATAGACAATGTACGTGAATAGAACAATGTGAACAATGTCTTTTTTCATAATATGTGGCGAAAACCATCGTAGTAAAGGGAAAATTAAGCACTCGTTAAAAATACCCAATGAAAAAAGCTGGCTTAAGGGCTTTTAAAAAATGAAAATCGAAAATTAGCACCTTTAAGCACTTTTTAAAAATGCTATGCACTGAACAGAATAGACAGAATAGTTTAATGAACAGAATAGACAATTGTGAAGCTGATAAAAAAAAAGACCAAAAATTAAAAGAGTTAAGTTTAACTATGTTTGATTCTAAATGAAGATAAGAGTTAAAATTTTAATAAACAAAAGAAAATACAAGTTATGTTAAAAATGATGCTGAGTTTACTTTTCTTAGCGAATTCAACAATATTGTCCATGCTAGCCCATTTTGCCTTGCAGATTAAATTACAAACAGAAAAACTTTCCAATATAGAAAACCTACTATTTCAGCATAAATGAAAACATACCTTTGACCTGGATATAAATAAGAAGCAACCAGCTAGGAGTAGTCCCTGCAGCGTAGCCTGAGTATCACTAAATTTTATGCCATCCAGATAGAGAACACTCTGGCAATAAGCAAGAATTAAGGCATTCAGTGCTAATATTTTAAACATCTGTAATGTAGTAACAAGGGTGCATCGTCCCTGCTTTATCACATGGCAAACTGTAAAATAAAAATTAAATGACAAACACTCTAAGTGGGTACCAGCACAAATAACAGATGTTCATAATTTTTCATTTTTATTTTCATTTTACATTAAATAAGAAGCATTAAATATGTGCTTACATTTACATCAAACAAAACATGTTTTTAACTCTTATAATTTTCAACAATTTCTAAACTTTTCTGAATTTAAAAACAAATTGATAAAAAGAACAAATTTTAACTTTTTTTAAAAAATATTATAAAATTTAATTTTAAAATATTAATACAGTGCAGCAGATGAATTAATGTCACTCCAGAAAAAAAAGAGAATCATTATTTATAGGGTAGTCAACTACCACACTTTTTGCAAAATATTTCATAGAATGGTTTACTTTTAAAAACTAAAGTTTAAAGTTTTCAGAATTTTCAATAATTTTGCCAACATTTTAAACGCCTCACCATGAGAAAGCTGAAAAAAAGGAGTTACATATAATATATATTTCACAAATACAATATTTAAAATATTGCTTATTTCATTGAAAAATGCGAATTAAGCATTATATAATTCATAGTTTAATCATTATGTTTTAATTTACAGGTTTAAAATTAAAGATAAATTTGATGAAAAATTAAAGAGGATGCTAGTTTTTAAATTATTGCGAAAATATAAATCATAGTTTAATCATTATGTTTTAATTTACAGGTTTAAAATTAAAGATAAATTTGATGAAAAATTAAAGAGGATGCTAGTTTTTAAATTATTGCGAAAAAATTTCGTGACAGAAGCACAAACTAAAAGATCTAAATCAAAATATGAAAAATACTATCAGCAAACCATACATTTATGCTTGGTTGACAATGATTGATTTTCTGGTCTGATGTTTATGATTTTCGGTTTTTTGATTTAACATTAAATAGGAATCATGAAACAATATAATTATCTATAATCCATAAATGGTAGCACATGTTTTTTCAATATTTTTGACACCCTCCTCTCCTTTGTCCCACATTTAATTTGATAAAAAAAAATATTAAACAAACAATATACAGATATTTGGAGAATTGATTTTAAAACTTTTATTTTAATCAAAATGTGGAATGTCTGATTTCTTTTCACATTCACATTCTTGTTGTTGAATGTCACCCCCTCTGTGTCAGTATTTCACAAATTACCTCCCTTCCATACAAGTGTGAAATCATGTATGAATCCCCCTAAGGTTATGAATTTCATTCAAAAACATTACATAATCTGTTAGGGTGGCACAAAAGAATAAATATTTCTACCAACTCACTGCATTGGATTGAAGACATTTTAGATGTGAAAGGTGCCGCTATGCTAGCATCTCCCAGTTTGACGATTTGGGGAGGTTCCTCCTCTTCCATTTCTTTTAGAAGTTTGTGAAGTCTTTTCTAAAGAGGAAAAACTTTACATATAATAGCAGAATGATTTTCACAAATGAAGAAAATTTTATCACATTTTTACAATATTTTTTCATACTCAGAAAAAAATTTAATTGCATTCGTATTTAAAAAAATTTTTATTTGTATTTAAGGAAAATGATCTTTTCTTAAACTTGGAGGAAAAAATCAGTATTGCCAGCAATAATGAATTTGATGTATATATATATAATTTGTTAATCAGTATATAGACATAATAAAGAAATAATTTTATATGGCATAAAATTAATTGTGCAATAAATTATTCTTAAAAGCATTTATTTAATTAGCTATATTACTTTTCAATTCAACTATGCATGCAAACAATCCGGTCTGGTCGAACACTTACAAAGAAGAAAGCGATAAGACTCAAAACTTATCTTCCTAAAGTTTGGTTTATTTTTGTTCGTGTAAATCTACTGGCAGGCTACATATTTCATATTTCTCTTCATACAATATACGAAGAAAAAAAATTAGGAATTTTTTTTAGTTGATGAAAGCAGTACTAAGAACAAATTATTAACTTTTATCTAATTTAAATTTTTAAAAAATAAACTGTATTCATCACTCCACTGCTCCAGTGAGTATATCTCTGGGGGAGAAACCCCCCCCCCTTCTCTCCCTAATCTGAGGCATCATATCTTAACAAGATTCATTTTAAGTCTAAATTTGTTTACGACCCCAACTAAGTCACAGAGACATTATACGAGATAGAGAGTAGTATAGATAAAGAGTTGTAAAAATTAAGCTTCATTTAACATACCTCCAGAAAAATTTAGGTATTTTAAAATTATACAAAAAAACTTAATGTTGATTAATTTGTGAAATTGTGATTGCATAAAATTTGAATTTTATACAATAACAATTTAGCTTTGCCCGAAGTAGAAGAAACTTATGCCTTTACTAAGAAAGGGAAAATCTATAAAAACGATCTTGCAAGTGATAATATTGAAATAAATTCTTACCCTTTCAAAAGAAGGCATTAATAAAATTGTATTTTGAGGTGCATTGTATTCTAAAATTGTATTCTAATCTTCAAATAAAACTGATTACTGTACTATTATAGGTACTTTACAGACAAATAAAACAATGAACAGAATAATGAACATTGAGTGAACTGCTGCTGGAAGATTTTGACAACTTTCTATATAACAAATATCAGCTATTTTGGTATTTACATAATTATATTTGTCAACCCTGATTTTGTGACATTCTCTATCAGGGTGAATGTTAAAGGCAGATTATAAGAAAATAGCTTATAATACAGGATTCTGGTAATACATAAATTTAATTACAATTAATGGTGCAAGAAACACATGTTAAAGGACTACACATAAAGTTCTGATTTAAACAAACACAAAATAAACTAACATTACCTGAGCTTCTGTTAAATTATCTTCTTTGCGTGCTTTATTTTTATTATCAGATCGTTTAGACACTTTTCCTTTGGATGCCATAGCTTCTAACTTAGAAATAGCATTATTTTCTATACTGTCAGTTTTCTTAGCTTTATTGTCTACACCATCTTCGTCCTTCTTTCTCCGTTTTTGGTGAGGTCTCTCTGGTGCACCAGATAAAATAGCAACACCTAAATTCAAAACAACTCATTATCCGATTATGCACTATTTACAGTCTTTGACATTATTTCTTTTTGAATGAAAAGTAACTGTGGTATGATAAAATTCATGATATTGGAATTAGGACTGGGCGATATTAGAAATTTTATATTGTGATGCATCATCAGTTTTGCATCGCGATATAGCGATGTATCGCGATATAGTATTTTTGAATTTCATTTACTTGTAAGGCACAGAAAGTCAGATTTCTATCGAAACTCCGTACTCAAATTGATTTAAATCAATTTAAAAGTTTGAAGATATATATGTTTTGCTTAAGAAAGATATTAAATAAATTGACTACTATGCACAAAACTTACTTAAAATATTTATTGAAAAAATGTGTAGACACAGAATGAAATATTTGCACCTCTTTATCGTTTATAAGGTATTAGCAGTCTAATTAAGTACCTAATTACTTAAATTATTAATTAATTAAATTATTAATTAATTTAGGTAATTATTAGGCAACTTTACTAAGCTTTTAACTAGAAATAAAAGAAAGTTTAAAACGATAGGTTTATGAATTATTTGAAAATCAATTAGTTTAAGCGAATGAAATTTTGAAAAAAAAAATTTAAAGCCATAAAAAATAATTTTACTAAATGAGTCATATAAAAATAACTTTGATAATTACATAATTATTAAGTTCGATTGNCCAAAATTATTTTAAAATATATTACTTAAAACACTTAAATAACATGACAATTACTGATTAAGTATTCTTATAAATTGAGAGCACTAAAACAAATCAAAATATTTATGTTAAATCATTGAAAGAGCTGTAAAAGTTATTATTTCAAACCACCGAAGAAACATTTTTCTCTCCCCAAAGGCGAAAGAAAAAAAAAGAATCACAGTTATTCAATGTCAACAACACGAACAAAACAAAAAACACACACGCACAGCTGCAGCGAGCGGAAGAAGAAACAAAATAAAAAGAAAAGACCGTTGAAGAACGATCTTTCGGGTGACGCTATCACACACAAAATCGGATTATCGGGGATCCGGGCCTCTAGTTGGTGCGCCATTATAACACTTTTTAAAAGCTTCAGTTATAAGACTTTATTAAAAATGTTAAAACAAAATTTATTCATGGTACATTTGTAGGAGATAGTTTTTTTAATCTCCCTTTTAAACACACACTACTTGGTTACATTTTAAAACACATGGCATCCATCTCAGTCACTCGTTGCCAACCTCAGCAACAAGTGAAGGAAAAATATCACTATGGTGATTTTGGTTGGTTGGCGCGGGGCCGGAGGCCATAGCGACCAACCCGTTTGTGATAAAAATAAATAATGAAAAAATAAATAAAATAGAAATTTATCAATATATTTACCTAACAATATAAAAAGAAAATTTAAAAAATAAGTTCGTTAAAAATTATTTGTATGTTCAAAACAAAGTGCTAAATAAATTTCAAAAAAAAAAAATTATAAAACGCTTTTAAATCACTATTTTTTATTATTATTATTTCGCATAAATAATTACATTAAATTGAATAATGGCCGAATTATGAATGAAAAACAAAGTAAGGTTTAAATTCTTAAAAATAAAAACAAAAGAATTGTGATATTCGATAATATATTTAGCTAATTAATATTAAAAGAATAAATTAATAATATTATTCCTTTATTAAAAGAATAATATTAAAAGAAAATTTTAAAAAACTGATTGTACTCTCTAATAAAACGAAAAAAAAATGAATAAAATTCGCAAACCTTTCAAATTTTTTTGAATAAACGAAGTTGATTGACTTATGTCCAAATTCAAATGACAAAAAATAAGTTTTGTTTTAACTTTATTTCTAAAAATAAAAGCAACTCAAGATTTATACATTTAAAATTAGTAATAAAAACCCATTAAATTATAAGAAGTTTTATCCAAAAAAAAACCTAACAAATTTAATTACTTTGTAACTTAATTCTTTATGGGCGCCTTATATTAGAAAATTTTCACATTTAAAAATAAGAAAAAGTTTTGTTGAAAAAAAATTACCTAATTAATGACGAAACTCTTTATAAATTCTATTCAATAATAGATTGCGTTCAGAACAAGGCAATGGCAGCGATCACGAAGTTAGTCCCACTGAAAATAATCTACAAGAAATGATATCAAGTCGCGACAAAGAAAAAAACTAAGAGGCTCGAAAACGAACATGCGAGATCACAATATAGTATTCTCAAAACTCTAGTTCTGATTCTACCGCTAATCAATCAAGGCCATTTCCACATAACAAAACGAACACCCCGAGTCGGCATCGGGATTTATACATAGTAAGGGAAGATTCTTGCGTGTCTTATATCGCTATATCGTCTTTCCTCGAAGACTTAAATCAGATTTCTGATGCATCGCCTGGAACAAAAGTCGGTGTATCGACTTGCCGATATAGGCGTTAAATCAATATGTCGCGATACATCGATTTATAGCCCAGTCCTAATTGGAATTCTAATAACTGTACCATTCTTTTTGAAAGTGGAATAAGTCCATTTGAAAAGTTGTATAAGCCTGAGGCTTTAAGGGGTTAGTGTTTGAATGAATTGAAAAACATTGGCAAAGGGTTAATCAATTTGGGTGATGTTTTTAACACTATAATTTGAAAACATCAAAATACAAAAGTGATTATTAAAATTCCAAAAATTTAAATAAACAAACTACATTTCAGCTCCAAATGGATTTATTCCACTTGAAAAATAATGGCTGTATTTGTTCATTGACCTTTCAAGAACTTTTTTATTAATGTTTGAAAACATATTTTCTTTGAATTTCTACACCTGGAGTTCCCATCCAGGGTTCTAGCTCAATTATTTAAAAAAAAAAATAGGACTTTTTTAGCACTTTTTTAGGACTATGAAAAAAAAATTAGCTCTTGATGTAAAGTAAAAATAGCATACTTAATCTATACATGATATTAAAAAAATACAAATAAAGTGTTTCACGATTCATGAAGTAAAAATTACATAATTAATCTATACATGATGCAAATTGCGGCTTAATTTTGTCACAATCTTTTTCCTCAATTTTCTTTTTTTGACTTAAGTAATTTAATATGTTTCTCATTTTTAGAACACACTTGCTTTTGTTTTCTGACATTAATTTTGGATTGATGCAAGCAACATTTCTAACAACAGAATAGTTTATTGGACATTTCTCTAGTAAAGTTTCTAACATTTTGGTGATAAACTTTCTGCAATCTTTCTTTATATTCATATGATCTCGGTCAGAAATAACTTTTGAGGCCAACAGCTGCTTTAAAATTTGGTCACCTTTAAAACCTACACTGATTTTTGTCAGAGAGACATAATTCTTTTCATCACAAAAATTAAAATGGCACAGTTTCTCCAGAGAATTTAAGTTTTCTATAGATTCTGGCTTCAGAATGTTATATAATTGCACACTATGTAATACCAAATCCTGGATATCTGCAGCAAAAAATGGTAAAAGTGGCCGATCTGCTTGATACAGTTTCAAAAATGGTGAAACTAGCTCCGACACATTTAAGAAAAAGTTCAGCTTAACAAGAATTAATTTGTCTTTTATTGCTTCTTGTAAAGTTAAAAAGGATTTACATTTCACTTTTCTAAACTTGCCAACATTTTTCACATAAGATTTCAGATCATTCCAAAGCAATATTGCTCTTTCAGCTGCAGGTGCATTTTCCAGCCAACGGTGGTTACAAAATTTTAGTGGTAATTTGTTCTCAGTTGATTGATTAATAAAATCTTCTTTTCTTGTGGGTGAATCTTTAAAAAGATAGAAGATTGAGCTCAGGATGGAACCAATGAGCCATTCTGTTTCAGATTCACCTTTGTAGAATGCGTTATTTAAAATATGAAGCCCACAACTTCCTATTGCATTGCATTGAACACCATGTTCTTTTAACAAATCTTCTTGAATATTATTATAAAACTTCCAATTGACAGCAGGACCGTCCATAGAAATCTGCAATAATTTCTTAAGGTCTACATTTTTGACTGATGCATAAAAGCAGGCTAAAAGGTCATCTGCTACAGAATGGCCCAGAAAAGCTGATGTTAAGTATCGCGTCTCTACAATGTTCTTATCTGGGTTCCAAAAGTGGATATGTATATCCAACTGCTTCTGCTGTGTCACTTTGTTCAAAGACTCATCAAAAAGCAATGTATAAAACTTGGCATTATCAATGCACTTCAGAAGTAGCATGCTAAAATGAGGTGCAAGTCCAAAATGACAGAGATATGCACACTTAGATTCACTGCAGGTGAAATGACGTGCTATTGAATTGTCTGGAAACATTGTACTAAATAATTTTCCAGTGTCTTTGGAAAAATTGTAAGAATAGTAGCTTTCTACAACTTTTAAAGCCCATAAAATCTCAGAAGAAGGAACTTCTTTCCCCAAAGCCCAACAATCTTCTAAAAAGATGGAGGCAGCAGGAGAGCTGAAGGCAACAGAATTTAAGGATTTAGGGAAACCGATTTAAGGAATCCGATCACTCAAAAAAAAATTCAAAACGCCAAAATAAAAAATATTTAGCACTTTTTTAGCACTCAGAAGAAATTCTAGCACTTTTTAGGCCCTAAAGAAGTTGGGGAAAAATTTTAGCACTTTTTTAGGACATTTTAGGACAGCAAGAACCCTGCCATCCAACCCCGTGAGACCTGCTTCTTATATTTTTCTTTGTTTTATTATCTTAATCAAGCAAATCCCCTCTCTTATTGGTCAATTTATTTTCTTCCTTGTTGTAACTAGTTTGCAATTTTCTTTATCCTCTCTGTGTTTTCTTCCTTTATTTTGAGTTTTTTGACACTGAAGAATGTTTTATATTATAGAACTGAAACTGCTTGTTTATGCTGCATTATTTGCACTTTCTTCATGTTTTTTAGCTTTATCTGAGTACAGCACAAAATCTATCCTTGCTTCATTTTTGAATTATATTTACACATCACCCAGCCATTACCAAGCACCTAGTCCCGTTTTTTAAGGTACTATATTTTAATACCCATGGTCAGATTGCCACATAATTTTTATCCTGAGCAGATGACACGGAAAGTGCTTGAGCTGGTACCAATCTAGCTATTCTTACCAAGCATCATATATATAAAGTTAACAAAAATAATAAATAAATAGTATTTTAATGAAAAAAATCACTTTCCCTTTTTAAGTAAATATGATGCTATTTTCAAAACTTTTGTGGCCAGGATAGCTAGGTGGGTAGGATGGTAAGCTTGTGAGAATGCGAGTTCAAATCCTACCAACCAAAGAATTCCTGTGTTTTAAATGATGACTGGTGCACGTTAAATCTGTCATGGTCACAAAGTCCTCTAAGTTCCCATAAAAAACCAATAGCACATCCTAAATTAAAGATTGATCGTTCTTTAGTTCAGGTCAAAATTATGATCTGTTTATGAAAGACTGGAGTTTAATTTGGTCCGTTAAAAAAAAACAGGCTGTGACGTGTGGGGGGAAAGTTATATTCTTGGTCAAAGATCGCTCCACTGAAAAAATAAGAAATGCACCCTCTGCTTTAAAAATTCGTTTGATTTCTAGCAGGCTCAGCAAGTATTGGCAAATGGCCAAAGAAACAACACAACATATGTTGTGATCTTGCATAAGTTGTTCAAGATTATGTAGGATCAGTTTTGTCCATCTTTAGCCAACACTCTATGTGCCAATTATAAATAAGCTTAAAATATAAGCCTAAATGAAAAGTATTTTTCATCTACATTATTAATGTTTGTGAGGTTACTCCAATGTTGCATTTTTTGAACTTGGACTAATGAAAAAAATTTAAAATTAAGAATTATACATTGATTTTAGTGATATTTTATCTAGATAGAAAATTGACAGAAAGCTGCCAAATTTATTTATTTAAAAAAGTTTGCAAATCTTTTTAACATTACAGTTGTTTGTTAATTCTTGCTGTAACCACTGTGCTGATGTAAAATACTCCTAGAGGTAGATGGATCATAGGTCAGAATTCTCTTGCTGCTGGTCTAACCATGGAAGGTTTTAGTGGTTTTCCTTACCATGTAATGAATATGTGTAGGTAGATCCATCAAAATGTCCTCCATAAAGACTAGTTTGCCCCTGTTGCTTGATCCAAGACTACCCATGCCTTCTGGGTCTAGTTCAAAATTACAAGACTATGGAGTTGAATATTGATAGCAATAAACATAAACCCCAAACTAGATAAATTAATTTCACAGTTGCACCGTAAACTATAGGAAACAACCTATGAAAAAGTAGTAAAATTGAGGAACTTGAGATCCCTAATAATTGAGGAAATTGAAATCCTAATTAAAAATCGAATAAAATTAACATTTTCTCGACTACAAAATATTATTAGATAATAAAAAAAATATCAAGATGCACTATGGATTGAGTAAACTAAATGCTATTCTCACCAACTTGAGCATGTTTAAGAGCACCAACATCATTTGTTCCATCACCACACATCAATGTCACATAACCCAGGCTTTTCATTTCTGTTATTATATTTTCCTTTGAAAGAAAAACAAAAAATATTACAAACAGGCTATCTTTAAAAGAATGGTTAATAATCTTTGTTGTTCGTATTATAAGTTTTGTTTATTAAATGTGACACCTAAGTACAAAATATAAAATTTGAAGTACATATCAAATCCAACTGGATGCTTGAATCTCACCAAATGCAAGACCGATGCAAATTATTTATGCCACCACACATAATTTAATTAGAATGACTTAAGTGAAATAGCTTACACATTTACCTTTTTTGTATAATGCTGATAATTGTTCAATCTAGTAGTAAAAAACTATTTAAGGCTGCAAATTCCTTTAAAAAAGTAAAAACTTAGAATCATTAAATATAGGCTTTGAATTAACAAAAAAAAGAGAGAGTTTATTATGTTTTGTTTCATTTTCAAGAATGATGACGAAATATCCATCAGCCAAAATCTCTTCAGCACATGGAACCTTATAGTAGTTTACTGCAGATTCTGTATTAGAATACATTCTACCAGGATTTATTTACGAATACTTTCTTAACCTATAAACATAGGTATGGTTTGACTCTTTCTAGTATTTATCCTTTATAATTGTGTAGTTTACAATTAGTAATTTTGAATTAATAATTTATCTTAAAATGTGTAACATGCATTTTTAATTATATGGGTCCATCCTATCTGTCTCCCTTGTTATCTGGCTTATCTTTCCACAACATTAGATAGGATAATCAAGGGCCAACAGTATCTATAGATATATTTCTCTTACACGGCGACAAAAAAAGCCTCATTACAACTCCCCGAATGGCAACGCTAGAAAATCGAGCACTGATTGCCGCTAAAAATGCCACATGCCAAATCTCGGTGAGGTGGCTCAACATATAGCGCTTTTAAAAACGGAAACTGAAATAACCAGAGAAAGCATTCTCACCAAATGTGTAAACAGAAGTGAGTAATCTTTGTTGATAGATCTCTATTTTAGTATTTTGTCGAAAGCGCTTTTTTTCACGAATTTATATATTACGAATTTATTTGACGATTTTTGTTTATATCACGAATTTATTTGTTTTATTATTATTAGTTATTCATTGAAAAATGAGTCTCAGTCGTGCTCTTGCGCTTTAAGATTTTATACTATAGCACATTTCTAATAGGTTTAATGAATTACATGTCATTTATTTGAATTCTAATTTATTTTAATGACTTAGTATTTAATAAAAAGATGTAATTTTTTCTTTAAAAAAGTTGTTATATGGATTTGAATGATTGTTTTGAATTCTTAGAATTTTGTGCATTTGCAATGTACCTAAGTTAGTAGCGAGGGAAGCGAGCTTAGTTTGCGAAGAAAACCATATAAGATTGAATAGCAATTTTCCGGGGTTGGCGAGCGTTAGCGAGCAGGGGACGCAGCCCACTAGTTTAAAAAAAATCGATAGAAATAATGTTGATTAAGATATCATGGTATTTAGTAGAAAAATGCTTATAGTCTATACTTGAACTGTACTTTAATAAATAAGAAACACAGACTAAATGTATTTGAAAGAGTTTCTATTTTTTTTTTCAATAAGACTTTTCGTAATATAATCACTTCTTCTAGAATTACAAAATAAACTTTTCTTAATTACCTTTTGTTTTGGAGCAACTCTGGCATATATTTTCACATGGGGAATAATGGATTTCAGAAAATCATAGTTCACACTTGAAAGACGCATTAATCCCTGAAAATGCAACAATATTAAAATGTATAGTATGAAGGAAACGTGTTAATATAATTTTCCTTCTGTAAGTAAATAAATTATCCATTTCATAATTATAAAAATAATCTTGATATTAATTTAATAACTTGATTTAGAAAAATAGAGTTTGGAATGAAAATGTGTGAATTTTTAAAACATATTTTACAGCATGCATAAATTTCAACACATATTAATGCTTTATTGATAATAATTATTTTTTTTTACATATATATCAATGCTTTTGTCTTTCTATCATGAAGTTTATAAATAATAATTAGAATATGTAAATTCATTCAATAACTCAATTTAGAAAAAAAGAAATTTGGAATGAAAATCCGTGAATTTTTAAAACATATTTTACAGCATGCATAAACTTCAACACATATTAATGATTTATTGATAATAATTATGCTTTTTTTACATACATATCAATGTTTTTGTCTTTCAATCAGGAAGTTTATAAATAATAATTAGAATATGTAAATTCATTCAATGACTCAATTCAGAAAGAAAGAAAAAATTTTAAACAAGAATAATTTTTTACATTTTGAATGAATTTTTACTTATATTAATGGTTTAAGTAAGCAATTAAATTCATTATTTTTTTTTCATACTCATCAATGCTTTAAGGAAACCATTTTCAACAAACCTCGCCAGTGACACATAGATCATAATTTGTGTACAGATGTTCAGCTCCTTTTTCTGGAATTTCTGGTATTGTTACACTTTCATCAATTGAAACCCAATTCCATTCATTTTCTAATAAACAACAAATAATTTAATTAATGCACTAAATTCTCTCTTTTGGGGATATAATAGCAAACACTGTAGTATTAATGTATTAGTAAATACTTATGCAAGAATATTTTTTAAAAATTCAAGAATATTTAAATTTTCAATGTGAGTATCAATTAATGACAAGAGTAAAAAAGAAAATAAGTTGATTTAAGTCAAAAATGTTTTTATAAATGCAGTTTTATGGTTGTGTGTGTATTCCATTGATATTTAAGTTTTTTTCTTTTTTTTTTTTCTTGTGAAATAATACATAAATTATTATTTGATACTCAATATAGACAAATAAATTTCCATTTGCCATGTATATGAAATAATTTGCTGCATGATAAAAATTTAAATTATAGCTTGTAAGTTTATGTTTAGATAGAAATACTTTTAAAAAAGCACTTTTAAAACTTAATACAAATGCAGTTTATGTATTTAAATAAATAAAAACTTGTTCTGACAAAAATGATTTAGAATGAGAGATTTTTTTTTTTTACTTTTAATGTTTACTGATGTAAATAATTTATTCCTTATTTGATATAAAACTGACAAATTTGGTATTTGTCTTTATAAATTCCAGGAAGAGTGAGGCTTGAATAAATGCAACTATATTTTTTTTTTGTTTATTTAATTTAATAATTTTAATCATTTTAAGCTAGAAATTTTAAGTACAATATTTTTAAATAATATTAAGAATCGGTTACATGTTTTAGCACAGTTTTGATTGGTAAATGTAAAATAAAAATAAAAAACCAGATTTACATCTTAAAAAAATCTGTTATAAATTCTTTTTTTTTCAACTTTGGAAAAGGCATTATGCCCTTCCACTCAATTTTTTTTCTGCCAAGTTAATTTTGCCATCTGACAAAAATTATTCTTTCCATAATACTAAACAATGAAATCAGTGTAAGATTTGTATTATATTCAGAAATAACTAAAAAAAAATTTTATGTGAATAAAAATTTCATATTTTCTGCAATTATTGATGAGAGAACCAGGATCCATTTGAATTTTTTTGGGTTAGGGGAGACAACATTATCTCAAAACCTGCATGCCTATAATTCATTGCACACTACTTTGTAAAATAAAATAAATACCTAATTTCTGAGAAGGGGTTAGAACAAGTGTATGGTTGTAACTTGTGAAATTAAGTTCTCTTGCAACATGGCATGCAGTAAGTGGAGCATCACCAGTAATCATTACAACCTAGAAAAATAATTTAAAATAAGTAATTAAATGCAAGATTTAAAAATATACACTTCAGTTTAACCACACTTCAAATTAATTGAGCTCCTATTTTTCATATAAAAAAACATAACATTGGAAACTTCCACCTGATTCTGATTTCCCTTCACATTTTCTATTCTGAAGATAAGGATGAAAAAGAAAACGATTTTATACAAATTTGCTAACCACAATTTTTTTTTCTTTCTTGTTTTTTTTTTTNTTTTTTTTTTTTTTTTTTTTTTTTTTTTTTTTTTTTTTTTTTTTTTTTTTTTTTTTTTGCACTAACTGTTATTTTCACAAAACAATTATCTATAGAAGGCATTTTTAAGTTTGGGTTTTCTATGTTAGAAAAGGATCACACAAATAAAAAATCCTGCTCACCAAGTACACTAGCAAAATTTGCTAGGGTACAGTAACACTATGCACTGTTGCTCAAAGCTAATTGTACATACTGTATATGATTCCTAATAAATACTTTCATTTCATTGTATTTTGTTGTTTTTCCTTTTTTTTAAAAAAAAACAAAGAATTAAATATAGGTTATATATCTTTTAAAATGTAAATGCAGTAATTATTTTAACTTGATACCTTTAATATTTTTTAAATGTTGAAACTATCAAGACCTCCGAGTTTTTTATATGAAAGTTTGACTTGTACACAGTTCCCTTATAGACAGACATACATTTTTGTAACAAATATAAGCAAGGTAAAGGTTTAGTGTCTTTTTTGTGATGAAATTTAATTGCAACTTTGTTTCAAGTCAATGGTTAAGTCTTGTCTTCTTTCACAGTACAAATCTTTTATTCACATGGAAGAGGTTTTATTATAGACTGAGGCAAAGTTTAATATGTGTAACATAAAATATTAATAAAATTCAATATTATAGTACATAATAGGTTAATTACTTAAATGAAATAGATGTTTTTATACTTACATGGTGACTAGCAGCTTGAATCTCTTTTATAATTGCCTTTGAATCAGGTTTTAATGGACAAGAAATAATAACAAAACCAACAAAATCCAGATCTTTTTCTAACTCTTCTCTAGTCATTACACGAACCTAAAAAATTCAAAAAGTATTTTATAAGTACAAGTTAAAAATAACATACAAAAACTTTTTTTTATAAATATTTTCAATGAAGTACACATAATTAGAAGATGATGCTAAAAGGAACAATTGTGAGATTCCATAACTATTTATGCAGTTTAAACCACAAAAGAAAATTAAAACAGTAAAATAATAAGTTTGTAAAATAGTTTTTTTTTTTTTTTTAAATTTTGGAGAAAGTTTAAAATTAATATAGAATTTGAAACTAAACTGAAAATATACTAGCATTAAAATCTACATTGTACTTATTACAGCATGCAACTTATTGGAATATGGAATTTTAACTAAACAGTCAAATATAAATCAATATCATTTCAATTAAACAGGCTTCCCAATCTATTCTCAAAATTAAAAATAAGGACTTTTTTAGAACTTTTAAAAAAAAGTGGCAATTTTAAGGCCTATTTAAAACAAGCAAATAATATATCCATATAATAATAAATCAGGAATATTTAATTTTGTTTTTCTCTGTTTTTTACATTTCATAAATACAATTGGAAAGATTTTTGAAAATAAATGGAATCAAATCACTTCAAAATTCTTGATGAATAATAACACCTAACTCAGAGTAACTAATACTTCCTATTATATATATATATATATATTTCCAATTTTGAAAGGATAAAAAATTATTTTATAGGTACTCACGACAAAAATTTTAATAAAATCTTTTTCTGTAAACATATTCTTTTTAAAAAATACACCTGAAATAATTGTATTAAGTTTTGTAATAGCAACTAAGAAACTATAAAGACATAGGATAAATTATAATGAACAGAAAATTTTAAAAGCTTTTAAAAATATTCACAAAATTTATTTAGTTTAAAATGATCAGTCTGCACTCAACTTGAACATGAGCCTAAAAAAATTGTTAATTTAAATTGAAATCATAAAAGTGTTAAATGGGCAATTGCTTTATCAAAATAGAAATAAACTAATCTGCTGGCCTACTGTTCTTCTGGATAGAGAAAAAGGTATTTGAAACAATAAGCATTTTTAATTCTAATATAATAATTTTCATAAAGTTCACACTAACATAAAAAGACACATAACTTTATTTAACTTACTTAAAATACGCATTTGTATTATATAACTAGGGTTCACACTAGCAAAGAAAAGTTAGCGGTGTAGTAGGATAACCTAGGAATTAATTTAGTGGTCCAAAAACTTAATATGGTAAACAAACTATAGAAAAAAAAATCAAACTTCATAGCTAAATAATTCATGCTATGGTACATATTAAAAGTTATTACTTACCATCTATAACACTGTGGGGACGGAGTTATTGACCATGCCAACCTTCATCTATCAAAAGGTACCTCTTGATTGAATCAAGTTAGCATGTCTTATATACCAGTGAATTGATGATTAATATTCGCAGTGGTAGTTACGCCACAATACTCCCCCACCAAAATTTTATCAGGGATAGAATTCGATACCACTAGTTACTGTACTTGTGAAAGACTGGGAGAGCTGTTTATTGAGTGCTGAATGTGAGAGGTGTATTAACATTATGTCGTAGCGTTCGTTGTTGCTTCTGTGTTGCATTTTGCAGTCATAGTAGCAAGTCAACTGTTCAATGTGGGCTATCCATCGAAGTAGGCATTACCGTCAAGTAGGCGTTACTGCGTGTTCAAATCACGTCCGGGTCACCGATGTGGGGGCGGAGTTATCGACCATGCCAACCTTCATCTATTAAAAGGTACCTCTTGATTGAATAAAGTTAGCATGTCTTATATACCAGTGAATTGATGTTTAATTTTCATAGTGGTAATTATGCCACAGCACCTTAAAATTAAGTAGGTTCATTGCCTCATAATGATTGAAGATTAGTAATTATTTACCAAATTCGGCCTATATTGGCTGAATAATGAATATAAAATATCTGATGAATCTGACAATTCTGTATAGTGCCAATATTGGCTGTAAAATAGCAGTAAAATATCAGGTGAATCAGACGTTTCTATATAAGGCCAATATCAGAGAAATAACAGCCCTTTGAACCCTTATTGAGCCAAGATTCGTGAATATTGGTCCAATGAAGGCCCCAAGTTATTTTTGTGCTAGGGATGATATCTGATGACTATTAAAACTCAATTAAAGAAGCAAGTCTTATGAAATTATCAGAAGTAAATGCACTTGAAAATCTCCTAAATAGCAAATAAAATATAAATATGGAAATATTTTTCTTACTTCTTGGTGAGACAGAATTCCTAATTCTCTGCGACCTAACGCTAAAACTCTAGCCCCACGTCTTGACATTTCAGTATAAATTTGATCATATTCAGATGGTACATTTCGAAACTAGAAGGAAAAAAAGATGTTCAACACAAAAATTGACAAATATAATTTATTCGTCACTTTTAAAAAATCATTATTAAAAATAGCTTTAAAATATTATGCAATAAGCATTTTTTAACTGCACTGTACATGATTTGAATGAAGAAAAAAAAATGTTTTTAAAGAATCTTAACTTTTCAATACAAGCTGATATATATTGTATCTCAGAAATGTTTTGCAATCATTAAAATTATCTAAAAAATAATTTTATTAAAAAAAAGAAAGGTTTCTTTCGCTTAAAAACAGTAGGAACTGCATAAAAAAATTTCGGACATGGAATAGAATTTAATTATGACACAACAAGATCTTCAAAAATTATTTTATGTTAAAAAGGTGGGCCTCAAACAACGACCTTTTAGAAAATTTAACTTAAGTTCCTTAAAGATTCTATCAGAATAGAAAATTTATGTGATTTTTACTACATAGCTTGTCAATGCAACCATGGCAACATTGGGCAAACTAGACATGTTAAAAAATTTAGAAAAGAACATTGTTAAATCTGTCATCGAAAATATGATGTCTCATCTATTGTTGTAGATTGTAAAAACCTTTTTCATACTGATTCCTTAGTCAAAGTCATGAGTTTCTCACTACACTTTCAAATGTAACCTGCAATGATTTTCCTCTTTTGGCCACCACATGTTTTTTGCCTTCATTTATTTTCCAATGGCAACTTTAAGTCTTCTGTTTTATTTTCCTCATTAAGGTCTGGTGAATTTTGAGAATGGGCCTTATTTTTGATAGCTAAAAACATGTCAATTTCTTTCTACTTAGAACAAATGAAGTTTTTACATTATCAAGTATCTTTCTGGTTCAATTTCTTGGAAATGTTCTTTTAAGTACTTTATTCATTTGTCCGATATTTTTCGACTAAAACAGTCACTAAAAATTGAATAATAATATATTATCGCCTATATTATAAAATATATGACATAAAAAATTATTTTTTATTGAATAAGTATTAACAATATCCTGTTGATAAAACAATTATAAACTTTGGGGGAAATTATAATTACAGGAAATTTCTTTTTCTTTTCTTGTAATGTAACAATCTAACAACTAATTAGTGTTGGTTAGTTTTAGGCAATAAGCATTTCATCATAGTGAGTTTATTCTCAGTATTTGATTCAACCCTCACTTTTTAAGTAGGGTAAAAATTTACAAAGGATAGGGTTTTTCTCAGAACAGAACCTTGTCTTAAATCTACTCCTTGAATAAGTTTGCCTTAAAAAGATAAATAAGTTAAATGAATTTTAAATTGAATCAACGACTCCATCATCATAAAAATGTTGGACTGAAAATAATTAAAATTATGCAAATGCAAAATGCTCTGCATCACCATTGATTTTAAAATTTCAGGAGCCCCTTTGACAGCAGCAATGTATGAAGTATCTGAAGAGCCTGCAGGATTGTAACCAGCTATCACAGACATTCGACGCAAAGCACTGGAGAAATGGTAACGATGAAAAATCTTTAAGCCAGACATTTTACCTCTTCGAGGAACTACAGCTTCCCCTTAAATAAAAACGTTAATAAAATATAGGTAACGTCATTTCTTTACATTAAAATACAATAGAATCTCCCTAATATCTATCAACCCAGAACAGTTAGTAAATTTATATCAAAATTGATTTAAATTAGATTAACACAATTAAAATTCCCCACCTGAGAGAAATTTTAAGCTCACAGAAGACACTGTTAGGTAACAAATCATTCTACAGCAGTAGATGGCAATATCTGAATTTTAACTTTAAACCTGAATTTTACCCTTTACATACAAAATCATTAAAATGAAAAAAAACAGTGAATGTATATCGAATGTAATAAAAATAACAGTCCAACTCTTTTTACAAAAAAAAAAGTCCAGCACACAAAGCTCGGATACAGCAAAACTTGATGTTGCTTATGAATATAACTCAGAAAAAAAACATATTTTTAAACATTTTAAATTTATTTTATTAAAAAAAATAACTATTCATGGATACACATCACCCAAACATTGTTAAGCCTCTAGCTCTGTTCATCAGAACTATGTATCAGAACTATGCTTTTCAATGGCTTTCGTAAGAATGCCACGCTGACCATGAATACCATTTGACACCTATCAGCCAGTGTGGAACAGAATACCTGAGCTGATACATCAATTTCCAAATTTCCACACCACAGTCAACAAGAGAATGTTTAGCTACAAGAAGTGTAATATGCACATGATTGCATATACATGCTCCTTGAGACCCTTAATTAATAATAATTAATAACTATCATATCACCTAAGTGCTACTTTGCATTAAAAGAACTGCATTTTTTTAAAAAAGAGAGAAAGTTCCCTAGTCTGTCCTGCCTGGAATCACAATTAAGTTGAGTCATTGAGCAACAGATAAATAAGAAATAGAGGGGGATCATTACAATAATTAAAAGAAAATGCATAGCATTAAGTACAATCTACGTACTGTCATTGTTTTATGAGTTACTTACACTGTTATTTTAAATTTCATTCACTGTTTTTTATTTCTATTCATTGTTTTTTATTCCATTTACTGTTTTTAATTCCATTCACTACTGTTTAATTCCATATACTGTTTTCAAAGTTTTAACTTAAACTGTATCAGAAAGTTTTATTTAAAAAAAATTGTTTCTTTTTCTTAAATCTCCCAGCGGCTAACTAAAGGAGTAAATTTAAAAACTGTCACTTTTAAACATTTAAAAGCAATAAATTATGTAAGATATTTTTGGTCTTATATGTTACTAATTAATATCCTACTATGCTTTGCCTTCAATTCATATAAGTTTTAACAAAGTTGATGCGTATGAGAAATAAAAACAAAGAATGGATTTAGTCTCATCTGATAAAGTTAGTTTTCTTAATTACATAACTTTAAACAAGTTTAAACTTAATCCCAAAACACATAAAGATTTAATTACTTTTTAACTTTAAATGTTTTAACTCATTTAAAAAAATAAACATAGAAAATAAATTAAAAACTCAATTTGAATTGAAAAAGTTAGGTTTATCAGAAAATAAAATTCTTTCTTTCTTTCCTTTTTTTTTTTTTTTTTTTTTTTTTTNTTTTTTTTTTTTTTTTTTTTTTTTTTTTTTTTTTTTTTTTTTTTTTTTTTTTTTTTTTGTTATAAGTAACACAAGGTGTGTGATTTTTTTAAAAACACTCTTAATTTTACATGACACTAGTTAATAATAAAACATAATAAATGCAAATTTCAAAAACAAATTTATCAAAAATGGAATAGAAAACTAACAATATCTACTGCTGAAAAATAGGAATAAATATATCAAATTTAATATGAAAATATACATTCTAAATACTTTCTGAAATATTAAAATAAATAAAACAAATTACCTGATTTAACAGGATTTATCAATTGCCAGCTTCTTGTGCCATTTTGTATAAACTTTAGATTAATAAAAATGTTTTATAAAACCTAAGTTTCAGAAAGATATATTTGTAATCTTGTTGTGAAGTGTTTTTGAACAATGATTTAAATTAAGTAGTTTTTTTATAATAATTATTTATTTCCTAGGGGAAAACAATAACCAAAAGCATCTCTTCACAGTGATATTGTACATAAAAATGCCCCAGATTTTTATTATACTTCTAATTTGTGCTAATTAATAATATTCTTTCAATAGTACTGGAATTTATAGCACTAATGCAATTTCGCTAATTGAAACCTACGATATACTTAGAACAAATTTTAAAATTATGAAAATTAATTAATACATTTAAAAGATTTATTTAAAAAAATATTTAAACCTATTAAAAAAATCAGTTGATTTAAACCAATGGAATAAAAAATTTATTAAAATACCTTTAGTAAGATTCCAGTCCACAGCAGTTAGAGTGGCTTTTTCTAATGGATCACCAACAATGCCATCTTCCAACTGTGTTAAAGAATGACATGTTGCAAGGACTTGAGTAGTTTCAGGAGGAATATCAGCTATAGAACAAACTTTATGCTGACCACTATTCACAAAAAAGGAAAGAAAAATATTAGTCTGCAAATATAAAAGAAATAAAAAGTGTTGCACCTTTCACCAAATGAAAAAAATTTCATGTTAACTAACAGCACTATACAGACAACTCCCAATAAATCAAGTGGGGAAAAACAAAAAGAACGTGCAAATTATACCCCACACCTTGTACTTGTATTAGACTTATTTAACTAAACTTGCATCAGTTTTAAGTTTTTATTCTACAAAAAGTAATAGCAAATCTAAATATAACATTAAAAATATTCATTTTCCCTCTTTTGTGTTATTACAATTTATACTCTAATAATTTTGCATTTCCTAAAACCTTTCTTAAAAATGTTCATCAAATTTACAGACATTCTTCTAATATGCAAGATTTCTAATATGCAAGATCTGGAAGCATATCCAAATTATCCTGATAAATCAAAAATTACTGTAATCATAAAACTCTAGACATAGGATACTGCAGGATCTTTTTTTTATTTTTTATTACAAATTATGGAAGAAAATAAAATAGAAAAAACATATCACACTTATAAATATAAACTGAATTTGGCTACAAAGGTTTTCATCTGTTATGGACCTAAATACCGCCTATATAATTTTTTTATAATGTTTATTTCATGTCTAAACTCATTTTGAATAGTATATTAAATTCTTTTTAGATAATTGTGTCCTGTTCTTAAATATGAAGATTAATAAAAAAATCTTTATAACAGAAGTTAAATATTTTTGAATTGAATTAAATATAGAAAGCTCTCAGTAAAAACAAATTCAAATAAAAAGCTTAGAACTTATTACAATAAATGACGTAAATTGACATTTTAAAGCAATTAATAAGATGAGTAAAATCTACTTAATTAGTTACTTTTTTTTCATAAACTTTTCCACATTTCCTCTTTTAGACATTTTTGAAAAAATCAGAAGAAGTCGGAGAAGTTTTATTGTTTATTGGAATATCAAGTACAGTTTTCACTATGGTAAGGATAATGACACAGCAATCAATATATAAATGTGTATTTTAAATACATAGTAAATTACTTTATTTATATATATTAAACCTTTTAATGAATATATTAAACTTCTAAGTAAAGAACATAGTAAAATTCATAATTACTTAATTCCAGCAACACCTTCAACAACCAGGCTATCACTTGTAAGAGTCCCAGTTTTATCAAAACAGCATATTTCCACTTTTCCAGCAAATGGTATTCGAAATGGTTCAGTGCAATAAACATCTATGCAAGAAAAAACCATCTATGAAAGGTAGCACATTAAAATTTCAAGAAAAACCATCTATGCAAGATAGGACATAAAAATTTCATGTAAAATTTCAAGAAAAAACCATCTAAGCATAATAGCATATTAAAATTTCATTTAACTTGTAGATTCCATTCTTATTAGGCAAATTCATTGCAGTCTCTATACATTAAAAAGGACAGTTTAAATTCAATTCCATACACAAATATGTCATTCATTAAAACTAATTACTTACACAATTTAGATAAAGCCAAGAGTGATGTATTAACTGCTAATGAAAGTTCTATAGGTAGTTCTGGTGGTACAACTGATGTTAGTATCAAAACACATTCCAAAAATAACTTGTAGCGGCTTCGTTTCGGGTCTTCAGTTCCTGAAAGCAAAATCAATTTAAAATAAGATTAAAAACTTACATTTGATATTAGTTTATGATAGATATTAGTTTATGATAGATATTACTTTACATTTTTGACACAATTAATATCTATCATAAAAGATTTTTTATTTTGTAAAAATAGCAAATGAGTGCATGACCCCAAATTCAATCTAATATAATTTCACTTTTGAGAATTTAAACTAATCAAGTGTTTTATATTATACCAGAGTTAACGAATTTCAAATACCACAAATAGAGTGATATAAGTTACTTCAATAAGATAAGATGCAACAAGATACAACAAAATGATATTTCACTCAATTTTCTACAATTTGTGGAGAGTCCTCAAGTTCGACCTATCAAATACTTGCAGCTTTAGAATTTTAATTAAATCTAATTTTATAAGGAAGGCAAAAATTAAAAGTGATATTTTATAGATCTACAGAAAAAGCGACATATCTGATCTCATTTTTCTTAAAATAAATAAAAAGGGCAGGAGAATTTTGACGTGATGAAGCTTTGTAGTTGTTGGCCTTTCTTAACTCATGTAAAAAAAACTGAAAAGTGAATAATCCCTAATTTCAAGGATTGTGGTACTGATCTATAAAGACAATAAAAAGTGTACTAATGTCATTGGATTTCTAACAGTGTGAATGATGGCAGTGAGTTTCACACAAAAAGTTAGAGTCCGTCGCAATTTTAACCCATTTAAATTTATATATAAACCGATTTTCAAGTTATTTAAAAGGGGACTTAAAGGACAAAACATTTAAAAAGGACAAAACGGACAACATTCAAAAATATTGGTTTTGGAAGGGATAAGAGGGCCATTGGGGGAGGGGGAGAGATTACTGAAAATATCTACGCAGAATGAAAGAAAAAATTTGCGTATTAATTTGTTAGATAAATGATGACAATTACAGGTCTCGAAAAATCGCCTGTCCTCGGCGGTCAAAAATTTCCCACAGACAACAAATCTCTCGAATCCAGCGTCCGCGCGGACAGCCATTTTCCCGTTAATGTTCGTGATTCATTTTCAATTTTTGTTATCTTACAAGAGTCTAGCGCCTCACTTCTAAAATGACCCTCTAATCTCGAAATACAGCAACATGCTGCGCATGGTGGAATTGATGTTTTCTCTGTCTGGGCATACTGCAGCGGTTGAAAGGGGCTTTTCAGCAATGAACTTACAAAAAAACACATTACTTACTGGTCTTAAACAAGAAGCGTTAAACGCATTTATGAACATTAACCTAAATGGAAAACCTCTTTCAGATTTCTGTCCAGAAACCTCTGTAAATCATTGGCTTGATTGTGGAACTGGCAAACGTCATATTTGATTCATTTAAAAAACGCAGTACCATCGGATAAATTGACATGATAATTGATAGATAACTTAACCTTTGTTAATCAAATTATTTCATCAAAGAAATAAATTATTTCATAATAGAAATACTAGGTTTTACTATTAGTAATCTAGCATTTGTAATCCTAGTAACTACTAATTCATTGTGCAATTTATATAAATGTTTGTGACGGGTTAGTTTCAAAGGAGGACTGGTACATTGTTGGACAAGCCGTCCTCGGGGATGGGTAAAATTTCTGAGTTTTTTCAAGCGTTGGACAATTACAACTACATTTAATATGAAGAATGACGTAAGACTGAATTTGTGAATCAGTCTAACGAAGTTGTTGCAGGTGCAGAGAGACTGAATAAAGAAAGCCAAAAGAAGCTGATCGATAGTATGTGCCTGTCATTTAGTTACTTTGAAACTGTTTGATGCTACTGTGTATCAGGAGTTAGAGTATTTTAAGAGTGTGTCAGGACACACATTTATTATTTCAATCATTTGCCTAATTTTGTTATTTTTCTAAAGGTTTAGTATATTTTTACATGAGTGGTAAAAAGGAATTTTAAGGATTAATTTAAATAGAAACCTACTGGCAGCCCTATCTGTAATCAAAAAATTATCTTAACAAAAGACAATTAAGCATAACCTTTTTTTAGAAAACAATTTACAAATGGCAACTTTTTGGATCATATTTTATATTAAATTCTGATTTTTATTGATGCATATTTCGATATATTTTAAATTTTATAAAAGACATATTTAATATTTAGGCAATTTAAGTCATTTTAGGCAGTTAAAACAAGATTCTTTAATTAAATAAAAACAAAGGATTTTGAGGAAAAAAAATATTTTTTTAAAAATGTTTCAAAAGTAAAAGCTTTAAACTATAAATTCATTCATTATTTCATTCATTAAATCATTATTTATTTTATTATTCATTCATTTATTAAAGTCAAGCAATAAACTGAGTAAAAAATTTAGTTAAATAGATTTTTTTTCCTTCAGAAATTATCCTAATTTTAGGGAATGTCTTAAAATATACATATTTTAGAAATGTTTATATATTTTATCCAGAAAATGTTTGATTAAACAAAGAGGACTGAAAAAAGTGACAAATACTTGTTAAGTTCACAGTTATGTATAATAATTGAGTAAGAAATCGTTCTATGGTAAAAGATTATGTGTATGGAAGAGTAGCCACAAACACTAACAAAAAAAAAAATCCTGATTTTCTAGGCAGATTTATTGAGTTTTCATTATTTTCGCAACCAATAACATAAATTTTATTATTAATTTTTCAGTAATACATAATACTCATGCCTATATAAAAAAAAAAATATTGAAAAACAATAATGTTATTGAGGGTGAAAATATTTTTTTAAAAAAATAATAATAATAATAATAAAGAACAATTTTCAGAAAAAAATATTTGCCTTTCTGGTATCTCAAACAACTTAAAATTATTTCTTTTCTCTTTGACTTTTTGGGCATTTTAATTAAGTTCCTGGACATTTTCCTCACTTTTCTAGATCAATACCATTTTCTGACTTTTTCCCTGCTCTCCCTGATTTCCCTTGTCTGTCGGCCCTCTAAATAAAAACAGAGTTTCAACAGTAGGAGACACTTTTTCAAACTAACCTTTAATCCATACATAGGATGATGCTGCAATGGCAAATATCAATAGAAATAAAATAAAACAGAAGGATTCTAAGTTATTTGCTGTGACCCTTTTTACTCCAAACAGGATAGTTCTCAAAAGCTTGCCCTGAGATGTATTAAAGCCAGTCCTCAACACATACGCTATGCATCCATTATCAGTAGCTGGAGAACAAAAATAGAATAAATTAAATGTGCCTTTGAATAAAAACAAACTTAAATTTAAAAAATGCATATAATAATACATATAATAATGCATATATTTTTGGAATAATTAATAGTATAGGATTTTGAATAATAAACATTTTGTATAATAAAAGTAAATGAAACAAAATACATATGTTTTCAAATAATATGAAAATATAAACCTTTGAGACCAGGACTAGTTTTGCCAGGAGGAGTATGTTGCAAAATTTTAGTCCCTCCAAATAATATGTGCAAACGTCCATGTTGATCTAAATCTAACAAATCTGAAGAATTTAGCTCTTCAATAGGTTCCTAAGAACAAAATAAAAACAACTTAAATATACAGTAAGATGGCCAACTTGCAGAATAATCACAATTGCATTGAAAATTTATCTAAGCATAAAAATTTACTTTCATTCCGCAATAATTTGATTTCAAAATTAAAGTAAAGAATTACAAAAAATATGAAGGATCAGTATGACTAAAAAAATCTGGAATAGAGCATAGAATTATCAATATAAATAATAAAAATTCCTATATGACACTAAAATAAATAAGTATCAAAATTAATTTATCATTGTAAAAGAAATTAACAGAATTTTTATATAGAATTCTAGTTGCCTCACTTATGTCAAAAACTAGGCCGAATTTATACTAATATTTCCAAAGACATATTCTTACACTTTGAAAGTGCATAAATGAATGTTTTTAAGAATAATCTAGCAGGTTTTTATACGTTTAAGAAATAAATTTTAGAAGATAAAAAGATTTCATGAACTTCAAACAAAAATACCATTCAAACAATTACTTAAACTTTTATTGATTTAATTTTTAGCTATTTTAAAAATTAACTATTGGTAATTTTGACTTGACACTAAACATACATACTTAAATTATATAATAAAGCATAAAAAGTATAGGGATTAAGGAAAAACAACATTGAACAAGTAAATAATTACTAACTTTTTAAAATCATTAAATAAAAAGCATTCAAGTTTAAATTATTATAGAACTAACTTTCATTTGTGGCACAGACTCTCCAGTTAACATAGATTCATCTACAATGCAAGGTCCTCGTAATAACAACAAATCACAAGGAACAAGGTTATCCTGTTGAGATCTACCTGAAAAACAAGTTCATTTGCAGTAAAAAAAAATACAATAAGCATTAATAGCATATTTTACCATTGTGCCCAAAACTGTGCCAAGTTTTGTAAGTTTAAAACCCTTTGTCGTTCATTATTTTTATTTAATACAAAATGCAATTTCAGAAAATTTTATTTTTATAAGAAAAAAATAATAATAAAAAAAAATTTCCAGCATTTTACATTTATCTAAAAGGTAGAAGAAATTTAAATTAGAGAAATGACTGCCTCAAAAAAGACTAGAAAGTTTTAAAGATCAAAAACCATTGCCAAGAAAAAATCAGCAATGAGAAAACTTCAGAAATCCCGAGCCCACACAGATCTGTTGAGCAGCACTGAAAAATGTCACTTAAACAAAAAGTTGAGCAACTATTCAATTTATTTGAATTAAGTATGAAGTGATTTTTTTCATTGTGAAATCTTAAAATTCGATTAAAAAAAATATTTTTTAATTACAAATAAAATGGGCGTTAAAAGAGAGGAAAACAATAAATGGAAGAAATACTTAATGCTAGCAAAAAATTTTTAAACTATGAAGCAAATCTCTATTCATGAGAGATAAGCTTTAAAATAAAACTTTGCTTTAATTATTTATTTTTCTTTTAAATTTAAATGTTCTTATGTTGTTTTCTTTTTGTTACTGAAATTTCTTTATACGATTATACTTGATTATTAATTAAACTATCTGACAAACTAATAGCACTTAAAACAAAAAATAAATAAGCGTATAAATAAACTAGAGAAATTTAAAAATGTTTGGCAGGCTATAAAGAAACATAAAATTAATTTTATTGTTAGGTTTTATCACAAAAAAAAAAAAAAATTATCTGATGTGAAACATTCATTACTTGTAATTTTCAGTGGCATAAGTATTTCTGTTTTATATGAAAAAGTTTCAACCTTTGAACAATTTACATTGAAAAAAATTTTAGCAAAAAATGCAAAATAACTCTTTATACAAAGAATTGAAAGGTGAATTTTTAAGAACATATTACAAAATTGTTGCATATTATCATACAAATATAAATACATGCATTCATTTTGAAAAATATAAATACATGCTTCAAGAAATACTTTCTTACCAATTGACACAATATCACCAGGAACTAATTCTGAACTCGGTATAGGCCTCCACTTTCTGTTACGATATACCTAAAAATATAAATGCATTAGAATTTTTTTTAGTCAGAATTGGCAATCCAGTTATCAAATTATCAATTAATCAAAAACAAAGTAATCTGGCCACTCAACTATAAAAAAAAAGGAAAAAAAGCCACAAAAAATTTTTTTTAACAGTTTAAACACTAGTAAAGTTTCACTTTATTTTCCACAGCATTGTGGTCTAGGTAGAAACATACTTGCTTGCAGCCCAGGTATTCAAGGTTCAATTTCACTGAGGGTCACTTTTTTATAATTCCCTTTTGTTTATTCAGGATTATTTGCTACTCTTCTCTGGGGATTTATGTTACTTCGATTAAGCAAAACACTTTTTTAGAAGTGCACACCATCAAAGCTTACTTACGCTCCTCAGTATGAGTCAGCTTAAAGCTAATCAATTTTTTAAAGTCAAAAATTACCATTATCAACAATTTTCTCTGGTATTTATTTATTTCATTAGACCTTTAAAAAAATTTTACAGTATCTATAATAGGTATCTTGCTACCAGTATAAGTACATTTAGCACCTACTAAAACCACCAATTAGCATCATATTAGTATTACCTATAATCAAAATTAATTGGCATCAATAATAATCAATTGCTTTTTCATAATTCTTCTAAGTGAATAAAAGTACCTTTTCTCCATAAATTAAGCTTCTCAAAAAAAAAAATTAATCTTTACCTCTTTGTAAATTAATTAAGAGTCATTAAACATACTAACAATTTGGCAATTTTTTTGCTGTTCTCATAAAAGAATAAGTTTTCATTAATTTATCTTTTAACAACAAAACTTTTTTTTTTCAATTTTTATCCATTATTGCTTAAATTTAGTAACCATTATTGCTTAATTTAAAAATAAAGCATCGTAGTCTCTGAATTAAAAACATTTCACTTAACAGCTAAGAGATATTTAAATTAACTTTTTTAAAAGAGTATCTTTCAATCAGGTGGAAAATCATTAAGGTTAAATAATAGTAAATAAATAAATAATAGTAAATAAATAAATAATAGTAAATAAATAAATAATAGTAAATACAGTTTAACTTAGGAATTAACATCACTCCTACATCTTTCCTTTTCCCATATGCATTGTCTTCCTTTACAAGTACAATCACAAATGCTAGTTTTATGATGTTAATAATGCCTGTTTAGATCATTTTTAAAACTAGAGGATTCTTCTGTTTATCATTCAGAAATTCTACTGAAATTTAGTAGCTACCAAAAGTAGTAACGACTGTTGAGAATGTTTCGATCCCCCCCCCTAGTGGACAAATACAGAAACATTCAATTACGAACTTTTTCTCCACCAGCATAGTGTATCTTAGAATTTGTGGTGAACAACCTACAACTCTTTTCATCTGTAAATAGCTTTCCCTCTTTTTCATTATGATTAATTATTAAATACAATTCTTAAACATCTTTGTGCAAAGTATTTTTCAGCATAAGTGTTAATTTAGTTATCTACAACCAAAGAACCGGAAGAGAATACTGGGTGAAGACAGCTTGGAACTGAAACAAGGTAAGATTCCTTGTTAAATAATTTGAATCTTTAGAAGTCTTTGTTTAGTATCGTTATATGGCATCCTTGTAATGATGCTCAGTTATATAAAAGCTCATCAAATCAGTTTCCTACGTATGATTTTTAAAATAAAAAATAATGATGTTTTATCTTTAAGATTGAAGGTATTGAAAAAGAAATTTGAAGAATAACAAGTGTTTTATAAGTGGTTATTAATAAATTGTTTCCCTTGAAAAAATGCAATCCAATGAGTTTTCAATATTATTAAAAGATTTTAATGTTTGTATTCTCAAATTTTTTTAGGGTGTTTGATTTCATCTTTAAGTCTACTATACATTTCATTAAAACAGACATGGAATCATAATAATTATACAGTAGAACCTTGATTTAACGATGCTCGTCAGATTGGACAAAACATCGTGAAACATGAATCTATGGAAACTAAAATTTAAATGACTACAAATTTCATTACTTTTGTTAAATACTTAAATACAGTCTGAAAGTAAAATTTTTTTGAAGAAAAACTTACATTATTTTAATGAGAAAAAAAATTCCAATATTTTTGTTTATTTTCATTCTTCCTTCTTTTTTTTTAAAGTACACAATGAATTTTTCAATAATCCCAAGGCATCAATTTCTCTCTTTAAATCTTCATATCCTCAGAAGAAAATTTTTAGTCTCTGCAGCATAACTAACTACTTCTTTATTAAATGATTTTAGATCATAAAATTCAGTCTTCTTCATGACAACTAAATCCCAAAATTTTCACAAGTTAACAGATCATGATCATATTTTGAAAACTCCACAAAGTCTATATCAGATTCTGTTATAAAATGCTGTCAGTTTTTTTATGTGCCAGAACTGATGTAAAACTACCTTTTTTTAAAAGAGGGATTTGATCCGATTACAAAGAAGTAGTTATTTTTCTCTAACATAGTATCCACCACCACATGAGTCTGTTACCTAGTTTTCATGATGTGTGCAGCTGCATTCATTAACATCATTATGTGAAAATTATGAACTAAGGATAAAAGATGACTCGGAATGTTGGTATTTCAGGGAAGCAGCATCATAGAACATTCTAAATAGCAGGATTTTTTATATTATTGATATAAGAAATAAGAGGGGGAAAAGCTGGAAAAACATTAAAAGCAAGAAATTGTTATTACTGGTGATGTAAAATCTGAGTTCTACCGTATCTATAATATAAATTTAAGTAATTATAATTATTTAATTGCATTGATAATTAGCAATGAAATTATTTTCTAACTATTAAACTGTCAGTGGTAAGGAAATAAACTTGAAATAAATATTTAAAGGAGAATAAAAAACAATATTATATATTTTTTTTTTTTAAAGTGATGACAGTAGTCCTGGAAAACAAACTTAAATTTTTGCACAGGAACTACATTTTTTTTCTTGTTAGAATCATAATTTTAGTTTAGCACTATTAATAGAAAACAAGCCAAATTTTCTTTTTAGGAGATCAGAAACACAGATGAAATTATTAAATAAACTTATTGAATTTTTGCTCAGTTTTGACATTTTTCTTAAGTTTATAATTTTGCATACTACTAAAATAGCATTTTATAAAGTAGCAAGTTTGTTGATTAATTTTATAGTAAAAAAGCAAGGCCATTCAATTGTATCTCTACACAAAGAAGCCTGAGGTCATTTATTTATTTATTCATTGCTTTTCAAAAAAAAAATATTATTTTAAAATATTTTAAACTTATTATTTATTTTAACTATGATATCATAATTCAGCATTTTTATAGCAATTGGTTAAACAGTTATATTACATTCTACCTTAGAAGGTTGAAGCAACTTATTCTTTGCTTTTTATAAAGTGTAGTATAATACTCTTGTCTAATTATAATATAAAGTTGACTCCTTACTCATTGCCACATTCTCTCTGGAGGTCTCTTTCCAAATAAAATTAAAGTCCCCGAGATAAAATTAAAAATATCTGACAGATTTTCATTGCTTAAAATAACATTAATTTAATTGTAATTTAAAAACTTTCATATTTAATTTCCGGTTTCATATTCAATATGGCTACACTACTCTTAAAAATACTTTTAAAAGAAAAGATTTTAAAAAGTTATTTTTGCATGAAATATCTTTCAAAAGAAATTAAAAGAAGTTAAACAGTTAAAAAAAATATCAATAAATTTTAATTATTAAATTCAGTTAACTAAGCAATATAGTTTAAGAGAAATACCTGAAGACCATACGGTTTGTTTCCCATTTTCCGTATTTCTGACAAATTTCTCAACTGCTGCTGGACAAGAGTACCTTCAAAGGCAATAAGCATTGCAAGAGTAAAGACACTATAATACCAGTATTCATCCAAACACCAAAGTGCGACACAGAAAACTTGAAACACAAAAAAAGGGGCAGTAGCTCGCTCTTTAAACAATTCCATAAATTCTGGTACCACCATTTCAAGCCTTAAAAAGAAAAGTTATAGAATTTTAAAAACGTAGACAAAATAAGAATTTTTCATACTATATGGTTTAAAAATAAAAATAAAAAAGGAAAAGATATGATAAAAAAGAAAATAGACTAAAATTAAACAGTCAGAAAATGGACATAAATATTCAAAAAAAAAATCCTGAATAATTTTATAGAATTTTGCTGATTTTTGTTGTCAGTAGCATAAGTTTTATCATGAATTTTTCAGTTACGCCTTAAAATTATCCAGAAAATATATTACGAAACTTATACTTGCTATTAAAGTGGAAGATAAACAATTGTTTTATTGAAAATATTACAAAGCTAATTATATATATATATGTGTGTGTGTGTGTGTGTGCGTGCGTGTGTGTGTATATATATATATCAGGGTGCATAGCCAAATCTTGGAATCAAAAATAAGCACTTTTTAAAAAATTTTCAAGCACTTTACAAAAATTTTCAAGCACTCAAAAAATTCATATTCAATCAATGATATTATTGAAAAACAAAAACATTTTATAAACAGTTTTAGCATTAAAAAAAACCCAAAAAGAAACGGGCGTAAATCGAAACAATCAGTACTTTCCCACATCACGGAGTGAATTCAACTTGACCCTGAGCTTAGGACAAAAGTACCCTTACCCCCTACGTCAAAAAAAGTGTTAGAAGTAAATTAAATAAATAAGAACAAAATTAAAATAAAAAGAAAAAGATTTCATAAGGATCTGACATTCTCTATCCGAATTGGAGCACTCGGGTTTCGGTTTCAAGTATGCGCGCATGCGCAAGTCATAACGTGGGTACGACATGAAGTCCGCGTGAATGATTACGTAGCAAACACCCCATTTTTTCGTGAAATGCATGGGATCCACCAGATATCACTGAAGGGAGAAAAAAAATTATTCGGAAAAAAAGCACTTTTTAAAAACGCCAGCTGAAAAAAGCACCTTTAAAAGCTTTTAAAAACGAAATCCCCAAAAAAGCACCTTTAAGTACTTTTTACAAACGCTATGCACCCTGTGTATATATATTGAACTTTTAAGCATTTTAAATTCAGATAAATTTATTGGGTATTTCCCAAATTTTTCCAGATTCATAAAATTTTTTGACTTGATTTCACTGTCCTGTTGTCACCCTGATTTCTTTTTTAAAAAACACTAAGCATCACAAATGAAAAATTTGTGATTAAATACTAGGTAAACGCATCAGCAAATGACTTAAGGCAAGTTCAAGCAATTGAGATTGATCTTTTGCCATTTAGCTAAGGAGCTACATACGAAAAATGCAGTAATTTCCAGATAATAGTCATTTCCTCATCTAATGTAGAATTTCAATTTTCTAGCAGAAACTAAAAATAATAGTGCTTATGTAATTGCATGAAATCAAAAAGCTACACTTAAACTCATCATATGCTGATTGCTAAAACATTTATCATACTCTTAGAAATTTTTAAATTCTGTAGATCCTTGATTATGCTCATTAAAATATTATTTCCGTTCTCATGGCAAATAAAATATGTCAACCAGCAATGTTATTATGGCATAATTCATGATAAATTATTAACCAAAAAAACTTACTCATTTTTGCCAAATTCCTTTTCAGAAAATTTTAACTCCTGTTCATCTGCAAAGCCTTTACATTCCTGATAGTGCTTCAAAGGTAAATTAATTGGAAATGATAAACCTTCAAAACATTTTTTTTCAAAGTTATATACATATTTTGTCTTCTGAAATCTAAACCATGCTTTAGAGCCCCGATCATCCTAGGGATGGGGAAAAAAAGACATTCAAAAATTTTGTTAATATTGAAGTCTATATAAATTTTATGACAAAATTTAACTAAAAATAATAGCAGTTATGGAAGTAAAAACATTTTTAAACAATCACAACTCATCTGTTATACTCTTTTTTTTATAAATTTGTTTATTATATTTTTAATAACATGTGCAAGTGCCTAAAACGATTTTTTATTCATACAATTATCTTCATTGAACCGTAATTCTGAAATATAAAGCTTAACACATTTTTGATGTCTAAAAAACCATTTCCAGGATAAAAAACTTGAAAACTGCTCTTAGAAAAACACCTCACCTAAAAACACTTTCAATGATAGACTTTTAAAAATATTAGAGCACGGCATGACATTTCTAATGTCTTCATAACTTTAGTCTGGCTAATACAGACAAACTAAAGTTCTATTCACCACTATTTTTGGAAAAAATAAGAACAAATTTTAAAATATTAAAAGAGATGCAGTATTATGAACATTGATGTAACAAAAAACGTAAAAAATATGCAGAGTGAGCAAAGTTTGAAACATGTTTGATGAAAAGTAATATCAATATAAACTTAAGACAAGGTTGTTATAAGGTTTCAATGGTTCCAATATCATCCACGTGTCATAAAAATAAGAAAAATATCAATAATGTTCTAATACTTCTAACGTTTCATGTCTATATTCAGCTGAGTTTCGACGCTAAAATACAATTTGAGTGCAGCCCTAGTTTTAACCTCCGACTCTGTTAAAGAGTCAAACTTGTTCACTTTAGAGTCAAACCTTCTCACTTCAATGGGCATTATTTTGAACTGCTTGCAATTCACCCATGCACATTTAATTAGAGATGCTGTAATGATTCTGTACATTTTACAAGTATTATATCTTTTTGAACTAGTCTAGCTGTTAAAAACCTCGTCATTGACTCGTAAAACCCTAAATAATCAGTCACCAATGGCAAGCTAGTGAATGGAAATTTGGCACCCTGTATTGGGGACACATTTTTATTCAGAAAATGGTACTACTTCTTAAACATAAAATAATAACAAGTGAGAACTTTTTAATGATGAAAGTTAGATAATTACTAAATTTCAACAAAATACAATGCTTATTAGTGATTGATATTAAAAAGCACATCCATAATAACCAGTTGTCGTTAAATAGGTCCTGGTGGTTAAAGCCCCACAATTTCGTGACCAACAATATGGTAGTTGCAATGTAGCCAACACTGCACAATGGATACCTTTATTTCTCTAACAAGTTATTGCCCAAAGAGAAATCTGTGAGCTTTCAAGTCTACCAGGAACCCCAGTCTTCACAATGTTAGCTAAAAATCTTAACCACCATGAAACCAACCACCATAAAATAAAAAATGTAAATTTGTAATTACTTGAATTGTATTTACAGATATTACAATATTAAACAGCTGATTCAGATATGATAAGTGAGGAGCATAATGTCAACGAAATATTATTTTTAAAAAAAATCTTAATTGCTTTTCACAATAAAAAAAAATAGTTATTCATTAAAATAAACTTATCAAATTTTTGAAGTCTACAAGATTATACCAAAATATTACTTTTATTTTAAGCTCCAAAAAAGATGCCCATTGTTCATTTTAGATAAATTTTTTATCACAAATCATTAGCTTTCGATATTACTTTACATAAACACGCTTTAGCTTTATGAACATAAACAAAAGCTAAATGTTGAAATCACAAATAATATATTTTATTTGAAAAAAAAATTATAAAAAAATAAACTGGGTATTACAATTGATAAATGAAGACGGACCAATTCAGGTGACCCATTATTAGGTGCGGGAATAACTTTAACATAACAAGCAGTAGACACATCAGCAGCCTGAAAAAAAGAAGAAGAAAAAGCTGAGACAGTTTAAGCATAGTGCCAAAATAAGTCATTACTCTTCAAGCCTGAAAGAAATTAGTAGTTGATTTAAAATAATTCACAGTTCGAGAACTAATAGAGGGATTTAACCAGTTACATAGACTGTAACTGGATAAATCCCTCTATCCAGTTACTGAGACTCTAAATATACAAATTTCATAAATTCAAGAACATCATGATCAAATCTTTATATGACAAAGCTTTTAATGGAAAATTATATTTTGATAATAGATTCTGAATATTTCTATACATTCTAGAACTGATATCATACATATAAACAGAATGCCAAATCAAAGTGATGGTCTTTAAAAAATTTTATTACATGAAAACAGTTAAGGTGAAAGAAATAATACTCTATGCTCTTACAATAGTTATATAAACTGGGTAACATGAGTTAGACTGATAGTTTTTAAAAAAATTATGATAGAAAAACAGTTAAGGGTAAAGAAACAATTCCCTAAACTGTGTCATATTTATAAACAGGGTATTCTAAACTAGACTGATGGTTATAAAAAAAAATTATAACAGGAAAATGGTTAAAAGAACAATACTCTAAGCCAGGGGTCCCCAACCCTATGCCCGCGGGCACCATGGCGCCCGTCGATCGATCTATGTGCACCCGCTGCTTGTGCCCAACGATAAAATATTTCAGTTCTCCATTTTCCCAATAAATGCTATGCAAATACATACTGAAGTACGCTGGTTCAGTAAAGGCAAAGTACTTGA